TTTGTTCGCCCATGAATTCCAAGATGGATGTCAAGAAGATAGCAACAGCTGGAGAAACGATTCCAGATTCATTTTCGCGGCCCCCGAATTCCGAAGATCCATTGAGATGCTCTTGAGCTGTGTATCGATCCTCATCCTCCTCTTCCATATCTCCCAATGATGAATAAACCATACATCTCAATCTCGTACGCTTCCACACCAGTTCAAGATCCCAATCTCGGCTGGATTGACCTTCCCTCTCCGATGACAACAATTCATCATCTTCACTTCCACCCAAATATTCTCGAAGCTCGGCATCCGCTCCACTGACCGCGTCACTTGCCAGCCTTGACTTTAAGACCTCGGCAACAGCCGGGCGTAATGACACCAGTGAAGTTGATTTCGAAACCGAGAGAAAATTAAATACAAGTTGATCAAGAAATGTGTTGACAAGTTTCAGAGCAGCGGGTGATACCAATGCCGTTTCTCCAGAAGGCTCAATGCCATGTTGATCGAGCCAAGCATCCGCCCTGCCATCATGATCGTTTGTAACGATTTGTGAAGCTGCTGAATGGGCAATGAAGACTGGTTCTGGTGAAATTGAGAGAGGTGGAGAGAGTAGCCCTGCGTAAGTGCTAGCTGTTGAATGCTTATCGCTCGAAACGCTATGTGATCTAGCAAGTCGCGGACTTGGACTCTCCATTCGTTCCAATTGTTGTGCCAATTGTGAAGTAGACATAATTAATATTCGATTAGACTCGTTTGGTATCCTTGATCCTCCCCCAATTGATCCTCCAAGTTGTTTATTTGTGACCAGCAAGAGTATTAGTGATTGGGAAGTGGTCAGGATGGGGCGAGTCGAATGACAGTAGTAAATTGATCAAGTCGAGTGGGACATTGAGACAGTGTGGTTAAATCTAAGCAAGCCCCCTGTATCGAGAGCTTTTCGACGTAAATCAGTATGAGCAAAGATATGTTAACAAGGCGAAAACATATGATGATATGGATATGTGGATATGTACTGTAAGACTGTGGCAGTTGATTCAGAAGGGGCTCGTGTAGGCAGTCAATGCACAACAACTGACTCGGAGGTGAGGCAAATCATACACCTCGAATCACATACAGATTGAAAGTTGGAGATTGTAACACGGGGGAGGTATCCAAGAGGAAGGAGTATAACATTTGAACTGAAGTAAACAAACTGGGAAAGAAGAATCGAGCGTAGGTAGGTATCTAGACGCAACGTCCCAAATTGGATACCCACAAAACGGGAAGAGTGGTGGTGATGAAATGGAACATGGTTTTTTTGTGAGCGTACCTGAGTGATGAAGCAAGATCCAAAGAGAGAGGGATTCGAATGTTCCGAGAAAGGAAACTGCCAATGAGGTATTTTGGGGTCCAAAGAGCTGTGGAGTGTTAAGGTCAATGACAATGGATATTGATGGTTATATTAGTTATAAGAGATTAAAATGTAGTTGATGAAGTGTTTTTGTTTTTGTTTTTGTTAATGATAATCAAGGAGAAACCCTTCATCCCCAAGAGAGAACGAGATGTGTGTGGATGATTCTAAGAGACTCCAGGAAGAGAATTCTAGAGCAAGAGGATTCAAATTCAAAATCGAAATCCAAATCGAAATCCGAATCGAATTCAAATTCAAATTCAAATTCTAAATAAGAATTAAGTTCAGTAAACCAGATGCACTTTTTTTTTTCTTCCAGCGAGGAACCAGCGGGCAGGAGGAACTAGACAAGTCCAGGATCCGTAATTTACCCCTGTACTTAAAAGTACTACGGAGTATAAACTAGACCCTGAGTGAGTGGTGAGTGTTGCTGAGTATGATCACTGGTGTGTGAATGTCAAACATTCAGGGGTGCATGCTTTTTCATTTGAGGCGTGGATTCCTGGATACACGGGGGAGTAAGTGTCCTGCGTAAGGTGGAGAATAGGAGGAAGGAATGAACCATGCCACACTCTGGTCCATATATGATGGGATGATTTGTTATTAGAAAGAAGAAAATGACAATTACCGAAGTATCGGGTGGTAACTTATATTTGGCAATGAGGAAAGACTTGGTGGAGTAGGTGGAGAAAGTGGGTAGAGTGATATCAAAATGGCACTGTGAAATGGTAATAGTACCTAGGTAATAACAAGAAGCTTCAGTGTCGTCGATATTGCAGTCGTTGCTGTTACTCTAGTATATTCGTAATGCAATCCTCTACTACCGGTACTCCCCTTATCTACCTAGGTACTCTTAACAAACGACGATCCGATGTCCACCAGTGGTCCGGATCCGGAATACTTTCGAAGCTACCTTGAGTATGTGTAGAGAATCTAATGATACCTAGATATACATACATATGTACATACACACACACACACACATATATGCATACATATGGTAGGTACAGTTGATGTATGACTATATGATTACTCTATGTGCGTCAAAAGGCCCCCCCCCAGTCGTCAGAGCTGAAGCTGATAATTGATTAAAAAGGATTCTGGGGAAGGCTTAGCACTGTTTTAGGCAATACAGAGCGGATAACGTACTAAGTACGCAGACGCCTCTCTACAAGGTAACAACCCCATGGCAAACTCTTTTGCAAGTAATCATCTAATAAAGTAACGTCTTTGGTTAAGAGAGAGTACAACAAATATTGATTGATCAGATTTGATTCTCGACAACGGGTTACACATAAGCGAAAACATTCATTCGACAGTCTGGTCACACCACAAAACCATACAGATACCCGTTGCGTTGAGGCTTTTGTATCAACTTGAGGTGACAACAGACGAAGATATATGATATCCCGATTAATTCGGAAATAAAATGTTCTGTATTGATACTCCACTAAGTTTAGTGATCTAACGAGTATCCATAGTTTCTACTGCAGTGCAGCTACTTGTTGGATGAAGACAGACTAATAGACTATCGCCAGTCACTTTGATATCCCAGTAATCCATCCCCATCCACACACCTTGAGGCTTGAAGATCGTCGGAATTAAATCTTGCGGAATTCTTACGTGATCTGGACTGCTCCGTTAGAGTCTTTCAAACAAGAGTGCTGAATCTGGCTACTGGTGTCTTACTTGTTACTCAAGAAGGAAATGCATTCGACTCCTTTTCAAACATACTTCCGGGTTAGGGACGAATCCAAATAGAAGTTATCTGATATCTTCGAACTACCGGTGTTAACACGAATGGTTCCTCTCCATCCTCGGCAATCATAGGAACGATCTTCAATAATCTATTCGAGGAGAAATCTAAGTTCCAACAACCGTCATAGGATTTATTGGCGATGAGTAAAGCTTCTACATACTCGGGTCATTCCCTGTACCAATTAACCATCGTCACGATACCAAACACTATTAGATCGGATATAGTGTCTCAACAAGTCAACATACATACCTACTTGTCGACAACCATGTCTATATTACTGGTAGTATTCATGGGGGCTTTCTGAGGCTGCAACATTCTGTTTCAAGAAAGATCAGCTACATGAAGAGTGAGAACTGAGGAGTGAGGTTGTGCAAGAATGATTTAGCTTGCGAAAGACCTCCACGATGTTGCAGTAGCTTGCTCATAGCTCTTTAAATGAAAAAAAAGACCTTTGCACCTGCATATCTATTCCATGCACCAATATACTCCACCTTTCCTTATCAGTGCAGCATCTTGGATTGACTTCGCGCTCGCCCGTAACAACACATTCAATAGGTAATGAAACATTTCTTGACTAAGACCTTTAGTAGCTCATGTTTCTTTTTTATTCCCCTCTCTATCGGACCACTTGCTAACCCTTCCTTTAACGTTCTTCGCGGAAAATTTTCTCAATTTGCTTTTTGGGATATATGCAAGTCAGCAGCCGCAAGAAGCAAATTGTATGGGGGACCATGGCAATCTAGCAGGGAAAGAATCTCTTAGCGACGTGCCAGCATAAAAAGCACTAACAAGGCGCAAAAAGGAAAGAAAAGAAAAATGGATTTTGACCTAGACTAAGAACGATGTACCTCCAACCTACATGGACTTCCATTTATATCGTTGCGCCGTATGCTTGCATCGATGACAGTAGCACAATCCCAAATGGAGTCATCGTGGCCATCTTCTAGAAGGCTTTCGGTCGACAGCCTTCATTTAGCTACATACAATATTTTAGATGTACCAAAATTCACATCACATACACAGGGTCCTAAAGCACATCACAAACTCTGCGCAAAGTCAATACAGTCCAATGATAATTCCCGTGGTAAATCTAAGTTTGTGCCTGTTAATATATTCGTACCTGCAAACATGTATATCACATACCTACTTGCATGCCTACCGAGCCTACCTACATCCTATTCACAGCACTCATCTCGGTCTTATATCTTATGGGAGTACATATCCCGTGTCTGCAATGGGCGTCAGGCTAATCTCGGGGCACAGTAACCCATCGATTACACATGCACACCCATTCCTGCCTTTCCTACCCTACACCCTACACCCTACACTCTACACTCCTTGCCTGGCAATTCTACGGCTTGCTGAAGAAATATCGAGTTGCACAAATCTCACTCGCAAGGCAGATACACATTCACTCCGTTATGGACTCGCCGATCATGACTACAGCGTCTAGATTTAATTTCATTCATCCAACACTTCGAACGGTACCTACTCGCTTGAGTTGACATCGATAGATTCGCGAGGTTTTAGAGGATGCCAAAAAAACCCCGTTCCGTTTATAGATACAACCTTGAAATCACTAGAAATTCATTCAGCTTGCGCAACATCACCTATTAACAAATTAAGTTTACTCTTATTGTCCTTGGTATTCTTGTCGATTCGTCCATGTCAAGAACATCGCCCATGACTCTATCAATCGCAATCGATAAGGTCGGTGCACGAGGCATTTCCCCAGATACAAAGATGCTCAGGTCCCTTTAACTCCAGGATCAGACCGAACTCAAAAGACCATTCCATATACCCCGCTGCAAAAATACTGGTACGGAAACGCTCCTAACTCTCCAATAACCACTAGGTCAATCATCAAAGCACAGCTCTCCTCAACATTTCACTCCGTTCCGGATCATCCATCGTTAGTGCCTTGTACTCCATCTGTGCTTGCATATAACAACCATCTTTCGTTCCTTCCATGTATGCTAAGTGCCAATAAACTTCGTACTTAAGTTCGTCCTCCTCTAGCATCATCTGATCGTTGAAATCTCGGACGATTTCTTCAATCTTTTTATCTTCGTTGGCTGCATCAGTTCCGAGCCTCATGTTGGTCAATGTTTCCAACACTTCGTTGAAATCATCGACGACGACACTGTTGTCTCCAGCCGAGTATACTCCACAATCTTCGAAAGATTGGGACAAGGCATTAATTCGGCCATCATGAACCTAATAGATGTTAGTGACTAATCAACAAATTCACCCTCATCCAAACCCACAACTATCGTGAGCGCGGAGTGGGAATCTACAACCAAAAACTTACCCCCCGAATATAAGCCTCCTCCACGGTACCGATCGGAAACTCCACCGATTCCATCTCGATCAATCGATCACAATATGAAGCCCGAATCGCCAGTTCTCGCTGAGCCAAACAATCTACACACCATCTAGGAGTCAGTAAGAAAAGAGTGAATGGATCCAGTTCTCCATCTTGATAGCACGGAACTAATTGTTTGTCTCGAATATCCATTCCATCATCGCGATAGCAGTGACTGCATGCGCCATGAAGATATTGCATGGGGTTTTGAAAGTGAGGCGAGGTAGGAACTTGAGTATGAACCTCTGATTGTCCGGCGTGGGGCGAAATCTCCAAGTCCATCTCCATCTTGAGGACTAGTGTGGAAGTTTTGTTCGTTTTATTTGTTTTTTGATTTGTTTGCTTGATTTGTTTCTGGGGTGTTGTGTGTACAAGTGTAAAATGATACTCTTGCGCAAGCAGATATCGGAAGATTATTTGAGTGGTCGTGGTTGTTTGTAAGAGGATTCAAGATCATGCGGTAATTGGGGGGATGGCTATGTTTATATATGTCCATAAGCGAGCGTACCCAACGACGATGGTGAATCATAACGAAATTTTGGTCAGTGGCCTGTTTTAACTCGAGCGCGATTGCCTAATTTGACGCTAGACACGTGGCCATACTCCATTTTGAAGTATCTTCAGATGAAATCAGTTCAAGGGTTGAAACCCTTCCATTATATGTTTCAAGGAACGGCGAGTGAAGCGTATGTATATTGGCATGACGTAATAAATTGTTTTTTTGTCTTCGTTTATTGTTTGGACAGATGGATAGCTCTGGAGGAGAAAGGAGATAGCCTCACAATAGGACTACTCTGGATGATTTGAAGTCTCAACTCAGACAACCGGATGTTAGTAATGGAAGTTGTCATTGTCATTCTTAGCTTTATACAGGTGAATTCGAAGGGTACGGTCACTTTGTCCCAAATTGGGAATTTGCATTTTAACTATCAAAGTATTTTGAAAGGATAGAAGAATCTAGGAAAACAAGAATACAGTTCAAACTTCCGACATTGTCGTAGCTACTATAATTCGTAAGTTCATGGCAAAGTGAACTTATTCATTGAAAGTGAAGATTATACCCACATACCTAGACATTCTAACTACCATCGTCACTCATACTTCGGCGCATATATAGATGTCGTTCTATATTACGAAAGTTACATCATCGCTATACTGCTCTATCTCGCATTCCCTCATCACCCATCAAAGTCTCGCAAACACACCAAGCCCCTCTATCTCATCCTTGACGCTCACCGAAGATCTTCTCCACCACCTCCCAAACATCCCGATGCACCTCCTCAACATTCCTACTCGCATCAATCTCAACCAGCAACCCTCGCTCCCTAAAATGTTCAATAACAGGTCCAGTAGCACAAACGTGCTGTCCAAATCGCTTATGCATAATTTCGACCCCATCATCAATTCGGCTGGAAGATTTAGCTCGAGACAAAAGTCTCTCTTGCAGAATTTGCAGCGGACAATGTAGAGAGAGCACGAGAGATGGCGCACAGATTGTGGATTCGAAGAGAGCGACGGGGTCCATACTGCGAGGGAATCCTATGTTCTTATTAGTACTTGAAGATCCACACTCAGTACTTGATACAAGTGACTTACCATCGATCAAGAATACCATTTCTTTGACGAGATCAATATCCTCACTCCTTCGTGCAATCGCTTCCTGTAACATGGAAACAGACATCTCGGGTGGACCGGTTCGGCCTTCGGCCATATTGGCTCGGATGATGGATGCCCATTTACTAGATGGCTTCTGCAGCTCTGAGCGCAGGATATCGCCGATGCTGATGTGATGGATGTGGCGATGAGGATTCGATAACTGGGCGAGGAGCATACACTGGGTTCCCTTCCCAATACCAGGGGGGCCGAGGACGAAAATGATTTTTGGGGGCGAGGTCATTTTGAGACTGGGGAATGTGAGCGTTACGGTGAGGGTGAGTATGGAAGTTTGGTTTTGAGGTGAGATCTTTTAGCTTTCTGAGAGGTAGTATGTATTTTCGTGTGGGGGTCGAGATCTGGATACTGCTGTTACTATTCCACAAGCATGTAGAGAGTTCTGCTGGAATAAGTTCGTTGCCGGTATATATATGCGAAGAAAATTTTAATGCTGCGTTCCGAACACAGCGAATATAATCACATTCGTGGTCAAGATGAATACCATTCAGTGCCGATATCGGTCAAAATTCGCTATATACCTGGACAAGTTGAAAGGGCTCAAATGTGAAGTTGAAAAGTGAATCATAGGACGAATAAAAACCTTTCTATTTATCTCATTCAGAAGCTTCACATCCATCGCTCCACTAGAATGCTCATAAGCGAAGGGATGGATAGAAAGAACTCTTTCCCTTTGAAAGGTTTTCCAGAATCGAATCCAGTCACTCTGAAGAAGACCACAAAAATATGAGAGCCAATTCATCAAGCTGAATATATAGAAGTGAAAACCAAACCTTTCCTGTTCTCGACAGGGCTAATGGAAGAAACGATCGATGGGGTTATTAGAGGACAGGCTATGCCACAAGACACCGGTGTAATTTCCTTCTATCGCGTTTATGATTTTTGTCGGTCAAAAGATGGAGCTGTTTGAACTTACGATGAAGAGTGTGTAAAGATTATGGGGATGGGATGGGATTTGGGTGTTGGCTTTTGTGTTGCATTTTGACTAATTATTGTGGTCTGCCTGTTCTGCGGATACAAAATGGTATGAGGCAAGTATCCAGTATGTTTTAAGCGATTTGTTGTATATGTTTTCTGTTCAAAATAATTCGCATCAACAGTTGTATTTTGAACAAAGGAAACAAAGATTCATCAATGTCATTGTAATCTATATTGCTTTGTTCTGAACAGGATGTAGGGGCTATGCACGCATTTTTTACTCTTAAAGGTTCGTTTATTTTCCATTCACGTGGTAATTACATGTTCATGATCATGGTAGAAATAAAGGCTTCAAGGCTTTGTGTAAATTTGTGTGAATATGTTAATCAAGTGTTTAGTTTCCAGAACCATTCAAGACTATTCTCCTGGAGTCGTAGACCGTTAAATCGTATAGTACATTCCTGTTGTTGGACTGACTAGCAAAATTGCAAAAGCGAAGGTTGGGGCTGAAAGCAATGAAGTGATATCGCAGGACGTTTAAGTCAAACAAGAGCACTTACCTGGACCAGATGGACCAGAAATCAGCTCCAAAGAAGGAGAAGCGAAGATGAGGAGAACCAATATCCAGCGCGGTCCGGCCGCATGAGTTTTCCTCCGCTTCTCGCTATTTATCCACCTAGATATGTATTAGCTGCCCGGCCAATCTTCAATCGTCTAATCCTTCATATTGTGCCTTTAGCTTCCTCTTCCTTTCTTTGTGTCTTTCTCTCTCCCGCTCTATGAGCTGTTTATGGAGTTGATCCAACACTCGTTCTTTCTGTCTCCTCTCTATCAGTCTGTCAGCCTGAGATAATCCCCTTCTCCTCTCTTGACTGATTTGCGCGGTCTCCCTGCGCTTCTCATCAAGATCGTCGACTACCTGATTTAATTGGTCAGCTTTGGTTTCTTGGGTCTCCTCCTCAAATGCTCTTTGTAACTTACTCGCTGCTGTACCTACTCTCGTGAACGGTCGTCGGATTCCATCTATCCCCACGTGCGTCAGTGTAGATGTACTTCCGAGATCTTCTTTGATTCTGCAAGAGTCACACATGCGATTGAGGTGCTCGACTCCTTCTGGCTCCAAGGTGAGAAAGCAGCCGGCTTTCATATTTTCACTGGTTGCCCATGGGCAGGGTCGAGAAATCTTGCGTGGGCCCCAGTGATTGCAGGAGAAGACTACGCTGGTACTTTGGCACATGCTTAGTGAGTTGGAAGTGTGATTAGAACATATCATTGGCAGGGGATAACAGGGGAATGACATTATGGTACTAATCATATATATAACATTCTCTAAAAATCTGTTGCATTGTTCAATACTTGAATTGAAGTCTTGAACTGGCTTGGTGTCTCTAGTTGTTCAGTGACCATATTACCGTGCATATCAATATACAATGGGCAGGGTGAAATGGTCTCCAATAGCTATCAAGTCATGTCAAGACTTGAGTATGATCCAATGTCTTCAATCGCCAACTAGGTCAATAAATCACCTGGTGGATACCCAAGAACGACGAATAAAAGAAAAGAAGAATGATCTCAAGTAAGATTGACTCTTAATGACAGGAGGCCAGAGATTCAGCAAAAGCTCTTTCGCCCAACGAATTCAACACAACAAGTAAAAACATTTCTTTGTGTGTGAAAGAACAGGAGAACAATCCTTTGGTTTATTGTTGAACTTCGAAATTATTTATAGATTTCATGACTGAACTCATGGTTTTAAGCTAGGACTGTGTGCTAGTGTCAATTCTGTACATGCTTGTCTGAGGCATGTAAGTGAGGTGATCCAGACGAGATCAAAGGCATAAGCCTACTCAATGATTGAGGCGTGCCTGAGAATGAATCTGTCCGCGCCACGAATTAGTAAATTAAACAATTCGAGCATAGTGGCAGATGAAAGGTTGAATTATGCGAATTATCAGACAATGTTGAGAAGATTTTTTAATGCGGTTTTTGTAGTCATTGCATGTTCAAAACCACCAGGAATTGGCCCATTGGAAGAATATGCTTTTATGGCCCCGCGGTGTCATCACGAAACAGGGGACGAATCAACAAACAAATTATTTGTCGCACATACCTTTATTAGCGGAGACCATCCAATCTCCAGTCTAAGGTAGCATTGTCAAGCTTCTCGAGCCTGATCATCTCTCAGGTCTGAACCTTCCTCTTTTTTCCCTCATACCTTCCACCCTCTTCCTATCCTCCTCGAATCTCTTGACCAGCTCTCCAACCTCCTTCTTTCTCTTCTCTCGTCCCTGCCACCTATAAAATCCTGCGTCCTCCAACTCCTTTCTCCTCTTCTCCTCCTTCTCGGCCATCTCTCTTCTCTTTTCTTCCGCCGCCTCATTCCTCGCTGGGCCTGTCCTTCCACCCCTCACTACTGTCACAAATCCATCCTCATCTGGTACATTCCTTAATCTCTTTCTTTCCCTCTCTCTCTCTTCTTCCTTGCTATTAAACTTCGTCATGAAAGCGTCGACACTCCTCTGCACTGCTAATTTGTCAGGGAATCGTAACTCCTGCCTCATTGCATAACGTGCGCTACCCAAAGCGGGCACTTTGCCTTCAGCGCCTGCACCCCAAATAGGGTATTTTGATTCCTTTCCTGATTTGCAGGTTTTTCGTGCAGCTTTTAGAACGGATTCTACGCTTTTCTCATCTACCAATAATACCACAGCTGTCCTTCCCTTGATGCGCAATTGCCTATCCCATCCTTGTGGTAAACTCGTATCGATTTCGACTTCGCCTCCTCTCTTCCTTTTCTTGCTCTGCGAGGCATTCTCGATTTGTTTTTGTGCGACAACCTCTTCCTTTTCCCCATCGAATCGTACATCTTCAACTCGGCCAACACCTATCAATGATGCGAATATGCTTCGAATATGAATATCTGTGGAATCTATAGGTAAATTTGTTGCGAAGAGACTCCGTGAATCATTCTCAGACGGAATCTTTGGAGCATGCTGTCGCAAATATATGTGATGCGTCGTCGCAACGGGGTATGCGGGCGTAGAAGGAATTGCGATAGGAAGGACAGTATAGTTATCACCAATGGTAGTTGGTGCTTTCGACATGTTGTAGTGTATCTCTAGATAAATTGCATATGTGTGATGAAAATTCCAGATTCTGCGCGTGAAATCAAATTGAAGTGGTTTATTCAATTGAGCTTGTCATTGGGGAACTTTTTTTGAAGCAAAAATATTTGGCAGGGGTTTGTGTCTTATCGGAGGACGCTAAGCTAAGCCCGAAGCTACGGGGTACCACAAACACCCGATCACTGACCATTCTCGAGCCATCAACGAAAGCAACGCCATGACTCCTCCTTTCTCTAGTATGCAACTGGTATATACATTGAAAGATGCCAGACTTTATCCATTGAATTTTTCCATCATATTAACGCCCACCCAAAGCAATGTGTTATCGAATGATACAAGGTTATAAGTACGTGTATGAGGACTTTGGTAGGTATGTCTGACTTTGAAGTTAAGAGGCAGATGTCTATATCTCATTAGGCCTTTTCAGGATCGTTGATACCGCCGGTTGTAATAATATATGTCGCTTCACGTTCTGGGCAATCTGATTTATGCTGTTAGTACAAGTGACTAGGATAGATCAAGGATAACTTACCAGGAGAATCTACGACTTTGGCAACACGTTCCTCTCCACGACCTTTTCTCAAGAGGATTCTAGTTGTCGATGCATGTGCAAGTATATGTCCTCCAGCAGGCTTACGCCCATCAGCTCCTGCAAAAAGGGCACTGGCACCTGGATCCGACATTACTTGATTTGTCTGTAAAGTGTCAGTCAGATCTCTGAGATGGAAAAGATAAAAATATATACCATGAAGACAACCAGATTGAATTCTTCCGCCATTTGTGTTGCCTTACGCAGAAACGCGTTGAGGGCTCCTTGTCGTTCGGAAAGCTCACCACGTCCGATAAAGTCACTACGATAGAGAGCCATAATGCTATCAATGATGAGGAGACGGTATTCATCAGTTGCGAAATTTTGGGCAAGGCCCTCGAGCAATTCCTGCTGCATCTGATTATGGTCAGCAAAGGGTAGAAACTGGAATGAAAGAACCACGAGGCATACCTCAGTGTTATGTGCACGAGCATAAACTATATTTTCGAGAGCTTGATCAGGATCGACACCAAATCGCTCTGCTATTTCCGAAATTCTTTCTGGGCGGAATGTGCCTTCAGTATCTGTCCAGTCAAGTCTTAGCAGATGTTCACCACAAATCTTGGCTTCGCAAGCTATTGCTTCCCTACCAATATAGGCCACCTTTCCCTCGGCTCCGCCCATCTCCTTAGGAAGCTGAGCAATGACTGCCATTGTATGTGCCAATTGAGTCTTGCCACATCCTATAATTGTTAGCGAGAGAAACATCATAAAGGTCTCAGGAAACTCACTGAACTCCCCGTATACCTCGCTGATACTCATAGTTTGGAATCCACTGTAAAAAGTTAGACCTTCCAGTTCAGGTCGGATTAAGAAGATTCGCCCACCCGTTTAAACAAGCATCCAACTGCTTGCTACCAGTAGAAATTCTGATACACTTCTTTCGGAAGTGGCCATGCTCAGCGGCAGTGACGAATTGACCACCAGTGTTGGGGCCCTGTCTTTTGTCAGCATATGAGATAAAGTAATACGGAGCTTGTTACTTACGGCTACTTTCTTTGCAGCTTCCTTGACTTTCTCAGCCTTGATGTCGGAGAAACCTTTGATTTTAACCAATCTTCGGATGGGCGTATTAATAAGAGTCTAATGCGAGGTCAGCTTCACGTCGAGAATCAGACTTTTATGACTGGATGCAAGAATGTTCTTACTCCAACAGTATGAATGAGGTTAGATCTCAATTTTGCGATATCCGAGGCAGAGATACCTGCTTCAGTTAGAACCCAAAGTTGCAAAAGATCAAGAGCACTTTGCGGATTACCATGGGCCTGGATTTCATCGATATCGATGATACCACTCTAAAGATATGTGTCAGTGAATTACCTCTCGCATGAGACTGAAATCGACCCACCTCTTGCTCATTCGCATCACCGCAAAGTGAAGCTGCGATGGCCATATTGACAATTTAATACAATCAAGGCTGAGGCCTGAGATATTTGAAGAAGGGTCCGAATAAAGAAATCCGATGAAAAATTTCAAGTGAAGTTGAAAGTGAAGCTGGATATAACGATTCAGTGATACGCTTCAGATTGCTCCAAACTCTTCCTTATCATACCAAAATCGTCATTCGGGGAGAGCAATACTCACTGTTTCGAAGAATAAAACTTACGAACCAATACAAAGACCCACAAGAGAAGAGATGATAACTTTCTGTACCTTAAACTTGGAAACAATTGAGAATTGGCACGAACGAACTTCAATCCGAAAATATGAGAATGTGTGCTTTATTGAAAAATGTCGAAGGGATGAACACCTCGAGACAAGACTCAGGTTACAGCTGCAGGATATCAAATATGAAGTTCTTTGGAGTTTGGAAAAGTTGAATTGAAGGTGAAAGTGAAAGTTGAGGGAAGCTCCAGGCAGGAGGCATTTGGCGCCAAGCTTAATCAAGCGAGAAGCGTCGTTTGTTTTGACTTGAATATATTTTCACAACATAGCTCCTCTGACACATACGACCATAGACTGAAGAGAATTGGGCATCCCGTCCGCTCTGCCATACACAAGCTTCAGATCGGTGGATTAGTAGTTGGGTGGGTGACCACCAGCGAATCCCCACTGTTGTATGTTTTTTCTTTTTGGTTGTCGTGAGGAATCGCAATCACCAGCCGGAAAGTGTAGCTACCCGTGGACGCTCTTAGGTGAAGGAAGATGGTCTCTAGAATTTGAATCGCACAGGTCTATTGTGGAATAGAAGCAGGGGCAGAGAGAAAGTGGAAGAGGGGCCAAGAAAGGCAGGATCCGTCAAATCGAGAGCTAAAGCGAGTACGACACACTGTATTTTAAGTCTCGCAATGAAATCATCACTCCATGAAAGACTTCGAGAGGGATGTATATAGACCTGTCGCGTGAATTTTGATGGTGGATCTTTTGCTTCGTTCCTTCCAGCATACTGCCACTTAGAAGTGCCTACTATCTTTTACCCTCCTGTGGGATTGAACATGATGCTCTCGGACATTTTTATCGGATAGCTAGTAGGAATAAGCATTTTATTTTGACGCATGCCATGAGAGAGATCTCACCAAATTATCGAAGAGCATAATGCAACCGTGGTATACATATTGATTCATTGATTTCAATCCAGTTCTCATCTCATCTACTCTGATCATTAGGTATTGCCAGTAGTGCCATAGACTTTCTTTCTTGACCATCAGAACAACCGCATAGTAGATTGAATCCGAAAGCAAACATACCAGAAACCACCTCCCGCTACGCCTAATCCTTTGCTTCAAATCTGCTCGAGGTCTATAACCTAGAGCCCCTCTCGCTTTATCAATCTGATATGTCTTCCTTATACAAGTACACGCAACACCCACTCGATTAACCCTCGATCTTCCGCCTGAAAGACATAATCCAAACCACCCACTCAGCTACAATAGTAGTTATAGCAAATTCGACATATTAGACCTCAACAGCATCACTTCTCAATACCAAAGGATGCTCCACCTCTTCATCGAAAATCCGTCGAACTTGTTCTGGTCCGATTTCGCAGTCTCAAGTTACCGAACTAAGAATTCAGTTGTTCGGTACTTGGACCTTGGTATCTTTCATCCTTCACACATACATTGCGTACAATATTGAGAACAAGGAGATTTGTTTCATGACTTTGTGGACTTATGTGATAGCTTTGTCGCATTTTTTTGGCCAGTGGTTGTATTTTGAGACTATAATTAGGTATGTGGAATGGAACGCTACCGTCTCTTGTTATAGCGACGGCGAGTATTGGTTGGATGGCGAAGCAGTGGATGTACTTACTATGTTGTAAAATAAGATTAGTGTGCGACTGAGAAATGGAGTTAGCAACATCACAGAACCCCCCTCCCAAAGCACCACTTGTCTCAGTTATATGAATGCATTGAAGGCTCAATTTTGATAAGAGGGATTGCAACCCTTGAAATTGTGTATGATTTGCCCGTATTCGGACCTCACGCATGACCTGCAAGCATATCTTTTTCTGCAGTCAGTGACCGCTTGGTCAAGGGTTTGAATGGTCAAAGTGAAGATATCTCAATGTTGATAAATCTCCCCGATTTTGTGATTGTCATGCAAAATTGGTATTTCCCCAACTCCTAATATCTATGCAAATTTCTGGATAAGCGCAGAGCCAAAGCTGCCACTTATCCTCAATAAGATATCTGGCATGAAATATTAACCTAGTTGATATTTATTCGCCCAAACACTCGGTAGAGTCATCCCACACCCCTATACTACTGTTACCTCTCATGTCCACATCCTGATTAAGTTCATCCCAATCTTCCCTCCAACTTATATCGTCCAGAGCTCTCGCGTGCTTTGCTGCCATAGTTTGCATTTCGATTTGGGTACGGTTAAGTAGTGATTGACTGGTCCCAAGCTCTTCCTGGCTGATTTGATTGATAGATTGCTTAGTCTCAAGAAAATAAAAGGCCAGAAAAGAGAGAGGAAATAAAGGGAACGAGAATGAGAGTTAGCACCTACAGATGCGAAATGTGTTGCTCTAAATTAGTGATCTCTTCCGTGCATTCGTCCAACTTGGAGACGTGCCAGGCCAGAATCTTCTACATATAATACATGAGCAATCGTATCTTCAGCTTGAAAGTTGTCTGATGTATATAAACTTACATCACTTTCTATTCTATGAGCTTGGAGTTCCCCGACTGCTTTGGCAAGTCGTACATTCAACGCTTCAGCTGATGTTGCTATCTCAGCAGCTTTCGCGACCGCCACTACACTCCTATTGTATGAAGAGCTATGGGATATTGGTGGCGGAGAATTGGATCTTCGTATGTAGCTCTCTCTTCTAGTGTTCAGTGGTCGTCCCCAGAACATGTCGTTGGAATCCCTTCGCGGCGGCGGTGGTTTGACCTTATTATGAGATACTTTCGGGTCCAAATCCATAGAGTATTCCACTCTCAGTAGTGTCTCCATCTCGTCCGTCTTCTTGTGCAACGCAGTGATGGCATCGTCTTCGGCGTCGTCATGTGACAACCTGACTACGAGGTCATTGAGTCTTTGTAGTAAGACATCCTTGTTGTCCTGAGAGTCCTGATTCGAGGAATTTGATGGGGCAGTTGCTGAAGCATCAACATTCGTGAATGAGAGAGGGGAAGTAAAATGGCGCCGAAGACCCAGGATATTCATCTTTCTTTGGAGTATTACATGCAGGAAGTTATATAGGCGCTATGACCTAAGCAGCATCCAAGAATTCATTTTGTTGTAAAGGTTTCACGTGGATGCATTATGAAATGCAGTTCAAAATGCACAAATCCTCATACAAACCAATGGTTGATCTCAATACGACGTACATAAGTAGCGGTATGTCGCGCGTAGTGGGGTGGAAATGTCCTGTTGTTGGCATTTTCAGTGGAAGGTTCTGCCATGAGTCACCGCTTTTATTTACTGCACTGCTTTACTAGACGGCAAAATACATTGCGGGTCAATTTACATTCTACAAAGTGACAATCTCACAAAGAATTATTATTGACTCAATTGGAAGAATTCTTTCACGCTCTTTCTTTACTTTCTTCTAGTTACAATCGGCTTTTATCCCCCCCATATTCATTCTTTTTACTTTCAATCTACGCCTCTCAAACAAAATGGTGGTGGGGGTATGTTGAAAAGATGACTCCTCCCAGAATTGACAAGAAAAAAGCTCACAAAGTAACTAGGACATCTCGCCTTCTTTGGCGGAAATATCGAATGTGCTTTCCAAAATTCGAGGAAAGTCATATGCTCCCAATCTAGTTGCTATCTATAAAGAAATTTCCTCCGATCTCATTACTCCCTCCGCCGCATACCTCAAGATTTCGGCGCATTCGAAGTCCGATCACTCTTTCTTATTCGAGAGTGCTGCAACAGAGAAGGTTGGCAGATATAGTTTTATAGGAGCTGGACCTCGAAAGATTCTCAAAACTGGTGAAGGACATGGCGAACAGCTGGACCCATTGCCTGCGCTCGAGGCAGAATTGTCCAAATGTAGGGTAGCACAAATACCGGGTCAAAAATTACCACCTTTGACAGGTGGAGCCATTGGATATGTGGGTTATGATTGTGTTCGATACTTCGAGCCTAAGACCGCACGACCTATGAAAGATGTTCTTCAAGTTCCTGAGTCACTCTTTATGCTATTCGATACTATTGTCGCATTCGATCGGTTTTTTGGAGTTATAAAAGTTATAACATACCTTCACGTTCCGGAAGATTTCACACAGATTCCAGCGGATTATGAGAAAGCACAAGAAATCATTGATGAAGTTGTTTCCGTTCTTGAATCGCCAGATACACCTCTACCCACCCAGCCACCTATAAAACTGGACAATGAATATACCTCAAACATTGGGCAGGAAGGCTACGAGGGGCATGTCAATACTCTTAAGACTCACATTACATCTGGTGATATTATTCAAGCAGTACCGTCACAACGTTTTGCAAGACCAACTTCTCTCCACCCCTTCAATATATATCGTCACCTCCGTACCGTCAACCCCTCGCCTTACCTTTTCTACGTCAACTGTGGTGACTTCCAAATTGTAGGAGCTTCTCCCGAACTTCTTGTTAAAGCTGAAGAGGGTCGCGTGATAACCCACCCCATCGCTGGTACTGTCAAACGCAATGCAGACCCTCAAATCGATGAAGCTCTTGCCGAAGAACTCCGCAGTTCTCTTAAAGACCGCGCTGAACACGTCATGTTGGTTGATCTTGCACGTAACGACATTAACCGTGTATGCGATCCCATAACTACTCGCGTAGATCGATTGATGGTCGTTGAGAAGTTCAGTCACGTGCAACATTTGGTCTCACAAGTCTCGGGAGTGTTAAGGAAAGACAAGACTCGATTCGATGCTTTCCGTTCTATTTTCCCCGCGGGTACTGTATCCGGTGCCCCAAAAGTCAAGGCCATGGAATTGATAGCCGAATTGGAAAAAGAGAAGAGAGGTGTATATGCGGGCGCAGTCGGATATTTCGGCTATGGAAGTGTAGATGCAGAAGGGAATGAATTTGAGGGAGAGATGGATACGTGTATTGCTTTGAGGACTATGGTGGTCAAAGATGGAGTTGCTTATTTGCAAGCTGGTATGTTTAATTTTCTTCTTTCGCGCCGAGTTTTCTATCTCAAATGACACTGCCTACAAACCCCTTGATCCTTTATCTTCATCTATAAATTAACACAACCTACAGGCGGTGGCATAGTCTTCGACTCAGACCCCTACGATGAATGGATGGAAACTATGAACAAACTTGGCGCCAACATGCAATGTATTGCTGGTGCCGAGAAAATTTACTCGAATATTCAATCTAAATCCACACCTAGCCCTGTGACTAGGGACGCCTCATTACCCGTAAACTCCGAGGAAAAGGCTCATATTGATTTCGCAGCAGAATAGAATATGATCAATTGAACATTGAAGTTGAGATGGCGGTTCAAAAGAGACGAATGAATTTGGTGGTTTTGGTGGGGAGGTCATGATTGGCACTTATCTCGACAATATCTGAGAACAATTGGACTTCGGTACGGGTCTATTCACTGTTGTAGAAGTTCACAAAATACCTGGTTTACTTATTAGAATGCTAAAAAGACAAAATCAAAGACTCAAAATAAATATATTTGTAAAGTTGTTTTTATATCGTCTGTGCAATGTGTGGTCCGTGCATGTCTGACGTAGGAAACATTGACATAGGATCGACCGACCGTTGACAGACCATCAGATGCATAATTATTATAAATGTCGGTCAGACCCACACTCACACTCGAGCCACACACGACTGGAGATTTGCAAAATTCGGATAAAATCAGATTTGTGAAACACTAGGCAAGGCAAGACTCATGACACCGTTAATGGAAAAATTGTGAAGAGGAGTATTTGTTATTTGTTTTTTAATAGGTCGAAAAACGTGTGACCCAAATTCCTTCTACCCAGAGAGCATCTGTCTAACTTAGAGTACAAGGTGCTGTGTCTAATTCTATGTATACAATGGTCGTGAAATCTTTTATGCGGTAGCCTCCTTCAAGTGTCTGCGATGATGGTTAGCTACTGCGACTCGAATATCTCAAAATGTAGATGAATCAAGCTGAACTTTCAGAAGGAACAATTGGAATAATAATGTTATATCCTCATAGTCATAGTAGACGTAAGAAGTTTAACGAATAAGAAAATCATCATGGTAACAGTAATGTGTAGAAAACCCCTGGGGTGTTAGAAAGAAATGGGAAGTAAAACATACTGGATCAAGTCGTTCCTGTCCTTGTCCTTCTTCAATCCACCGAAAGCCATCTTGGTTCCTGGAATATATTTCTTTGGGTTCTCGAGGTATTCGAACTATTTCATATTAGATGCGGCTCTCTCTATACAACAAATTTCTGGTGGCGGTGTGGTAAAACGTACAAGTGTGTTCTCGTCCCAGGTGATAGCCTTTTGCTTGTTGGCATCGGTGTATGAGTAGCCCTCAACGGAACCGGTTTGACGTCCGAAAAGACCGTGGAGGTTAGGACCGATCTTGTTTCCCTCACCCTCACCGAGGGTGTGGCATTGAGCACATCTGGTCTTGAAGAGGTTGGCACCCTTCTTTGCGTCTCCTGTAGACGAAAGTTGTAAGTATTTATTCTTTATGCGTGTAGGCATGAGAGTCTTTGTCGGGCAAAGTGGCGAGCGAGTGACTTTAAAAGGGAGAATATAGTGCCGCAAGATGGAAGGGAGACGCTGTCAGGGTCTTGAGTGTTTGCAGAAGTTTATGAATAGCGGCCAGAGCTGGCGGAGTGGCGGATGGAGTTGAAATGTCGAGTGGCGGCTCGAACAAATATTCTCCCCAGATCGAAAATACAAGTCCGCCTTCAATTGAAGACGTCCAGAGTATTTCCTAGCCACCAGTCATACCGTTGTGCAAGTCGAAGACCCAATTCGCATGTCCCAACTCTCAATGGCGAAATTCTTCGTGGACGATTCACATTTCTCAAAAGTGGGAAGCCCGTCAGAGAGTAAAAATAAACATACCTGCTTTGAAACCCATTTTGACTAATTAAGAGGATGTATGTAAATAGAATTGAAAGTGATTATGTATGTATGACTTGAACGAAAGTTCGTGAACGAAAGGTCGTGAGAGGAAAAGTGGTAGGAATTTTCAAAATAGTATTGTATGAAGGTTTAAAAAAGAAAAAGGAAAAATAATCTTGCTTGAATATGTACTCTACCTGCAGGAATTAAGACGTAGCTTAATTTTGATCCCGAAATTGACGAGGTCATTTTGAGCCACACTTCCCGAACGTCTCCAGCCAATAGGAAGAATTGAAATGGTCAGGTCATGTGGCGCAGGTCGGGATCTTACGGAGGATTAATGAAATTTTTAATTTGCGTCATGCAGACTTATTGGTGAACGTATTGCGGGAGTGAATCATGAATTTGTGAGAAGCTTCATTTTTGATTTCATAGGTACAAGGTAGGTAGCTTGCTGATCTACTTTTTTTACACCATCAATCAAAATCAAGAGGGTTTTTCGTGATCTATCATCCATAATGTCGTCCACAGCCTCTATACCCAGGTTTCTTTTACCACTTCGATCTCCTCTCTGGTCTCTGTCCTCAAAAACGACCATTCGCAACGCTTCTACCAAATCAAAGAATAATGCTTCCAAAAAGTCCTCCAAACCCCTCGTTCTCGAGAAACCCGCCAAATTCAACCCCCCTTCTCACCCTGCCCGTCTCCGCAAAGATCCTCCCCGGTATCCAGGTCCCCAATTGAGCGCCGAAGAAATAGCCAGACAAAGTGTGAAGAAATATCCAAATATGATGCCACCGGAAGGAACATTTATGCATTGGTTTCTCAACAACAAGTCCATTCATATCTGGATCGCATTGGTAATACCTATTCCACTCTCTTTCAGTTTCTCCAAACTATATAACTAACCTTCAATTCCAGGGCACACTCTCTACCCTCGCAGGAGGAGTCTGGATCACAAACTTTAAGCGCGATTCCCCATTCGGAGATATGCTACCTGAATGGCCACAACTATTCCTACACCCAATCGCATTTACAAGAACATGCTATGAAGTTTTACAGCTGCACACTGCGCATGTAACAGCAGAGACTATGGAAAGGAGAAAACATAAGGTGGAGGACGTTGCGAAGAGGGCTGCTTATAGAAAGGCGCATGGATTAGATAAAGACGAAGGCTTTGGTGGCTGGACTGCTAAGACTGATAGAGAGGTTTTGGGTCCGGGGATTAAGTTGGGACATGAAAAAGAAGCTGAGATTGCCGAGACGGCTGAGGGGGGTGTGGAGGGAAATGGCAAGGAAGGAGAGAAGAAGGCGGTTTATGAGAAACAATTCTCAGGAAAGAAATGGTTGGGAATTTGGTAGGAGCCAGACGCATCTTTTGATACCAATTTTATTTTGAAATCGGATTAGAACATTGTTCTGGTGTTGGGCCGACATGAGACGAGATATTGTACATGTTTGGGAGAAGAAGGGTATCATTGTAGAAAATTCCTTGTAAAACCGCGACATTAGGACAGCTCCACAGTCTCCAATCCATCTAATACCTCCTCTGCTACACCTCCTTGTTCCATAACCTTTGCGATTATCGTCGCGACCAACTTTCTCTTGATTCCTCCCCTTGGCGGTTGCCATACACCTCCCTCATTCATTGTCTCTCTTTGAGTCGATGCTAGATCCGTCGTCTCAGCTGCCGCACCTCCAGTAGCAGTGTTCATCGCATTAGGTACACCAGGCGCTGTTAACCTAGCTGGTAAATCCACGGTCCTCACAGCCAATAATCTTAGATCTCTTCCAGAGCTAGAATCCATATCTACGTCTCCATCCTTACGCCTTCTCTCACCAATGGTAATAGCTAATACAGCTTCGGCAACTGTAAGCTCCTCTTTACTCGGATCGAAGATTATATTATCGCCAACGGATATGACGAGAAGTGTAATTGGTGGTCGAGAGTTGGTGGATTGTGGTGTTCGAGGATATAAGTAGACGGAAGCTTCCCAGTCATCGTCAAAGAGTGGATCTTCATCACCTTCGGACTTGAGACGTGGAAGACGAGTAGATAAAAGCGCAAGATGGGTTGTTAAAGAAAGGAGGGGTAGTGGGTAGGACAATGGCTGTGAAAGTAGTAGAATCTGCATGATTGTCAGTCGCGATGATTAAATTTTAAGCAATTAGAGATATTTCATTATTATAAATGTATAGAGAAAAACTCACATCAACATATATCTTCCAATGATACCTTGAATTAATCCATAATCTCCCCACAAACTCGGCATCTGCTAGTAGCGCCTCACTCAGCATGGCCGCCATGAAAACAGGCATACTATCATCATCCCTAAACCCCGGAATCTCCACACTCAACTCTAGCCAATCTCTTTCTCCCTTTTGTTCTTTCTCAAGCTTCTCTTTCTCTATCGCTTCTCTCATATCTTCATCAGCCTCATCATCGTCATCATTTTCCGAAGGACCAAGTTCTGCAGCTTGATAAGTCGGTCGCGATTTTTCGACTTCACATTTTACGCCCACGATAGCTTCAGTGCCATCTGCAAAACAAATGCGCGCACTGCCATTTGTGCCGGGGAGGACATCGCATTCGGCGATGAGAGGACGGAATTGGGTAGACGTACGGGCGTCAGGGCGAATTGGAGGGTTGAGAGAGAGAGATGTGTGGAGGTAAGAGAGTTCGGCGGGCGAGAGTAAAAGAGGCTGTGTAGAAGAAGGTGGCATTTTGGATCTGAAACTCTTCAGAACTGACCAAATTGGGAATCTGGGGAGAGGTTGTGAGGTGATTGGATTGTTCACGACGTTGTGCAATATTTCTTTGCGAGAGCCAGCCTAGTGTAAATTCTTTAGACGAGGCTAGCATGCAAGCAAGGCTGTCTGTTCGGAGAAAAAAGCGGCGGAATCTGATCACTCAAATCTCTATTGAAATCTTTTGAATTGAACTGAATGAAAAATCAATTATAAGTGAATTAAATAAAGTTATGAAGATTGGAAGAACTATTAGCTTTATTGTATATAATACTCAAGAAGAATAACCAATTTATTGAAGATGATATATCGTAGAAGTGATCAATATTCGCCTCTCTAAGGTTAGGCAATGGCTTCGTACTCCACTCATCCTTCGCTTGACCTGTATCAATAATGTAGAATAGCTTGTCGATTCCGTGGCTTGTTGGCGAGGCTATAGTTTTGGGGTGGTTGCACATGAGTTCTTGTACATTGCTTTGAAGCCCATGCAAATGTCATTATTGGGATAGTTTCGAATTCCTGAAGCTGTTTTCCACATCCCAACTTCGGCTTATATCGAAATAATCCATGTGAGGGTTGGAAATCTAGTCGGCGTGATGTTCCTCCATTACCCATGCTCTGGGGCCAAAGTCTCCGAGAGCATCTTATATGCCCGAATTTAGACTAGAATGTGATCAAAGCTGTACTGCCTCTTAGTAATCCAATTCCTCTATTATGCAATCATTATCTCAAGAATCCTTCAGAATGCCATCTATTCTAGCAATCATCTGGAACAACAAGTTCGACCTCCCTCCCCTTCCAGCACCTAATACTCTTTTTTTTTTAAGGAAAATCCATTCTTATCACTGGTGCAACGTCGGCAATAGGTTATGCAATTGCAGTACATTTTGTCAATCTGGGTGCAAGATCTGTGGTCAAACGGAGGATCGCTTGCGAAAGGGGAACTGGCAAAGACTAGAATAGAAGATGAGACGAGCACAATAGGAAAAAACATTGTAAGATGCATGGAGTAAGTTTGATTCAGTTATATATTCACATAAGAACAACTAATAGAAGCCTTTTGATTTCTGAAGTTCCATCAAGTATTCAGATCAGCTGGAATTTTGAATTGTTTTCAAATGTCTCCTGGCTTCCAAATTTTGAAAAGTGACATATAAAGGGCTATTACAGATGATTTGACTGCTCGAAAATGTCGCAATAATTATAGCTTGGTTCACACAGTAACCTGTGACTCCAGGTTAGACATGAGCACCTTTGAAACTATAAATGAATTCGCAGGGAAAGTGACAGAAGATATTCAAGAGATCGACTTCGTTTGTTTGTATGCTGGAGCTATTTCCGCTAACCGAAAACTAGGCAAGGAAGGATATAAAACCATGATTGAGATAAGCGTTCTTGGAACTTCTTTCTTGGCGTTACTACTACTGCCTTGGATGAAAGAAGTTGGAAGAGGAAATGCTCATTTGGGCATAGTAACAAGTAAGTGACATCGAGTTACTTGTACCTTGACGGGTCCCCGTCGATCGACTCTACAAAGAAACCCGCTTGGATTTTTGAATAGGTTTGACTGACATGGAACTCTCAGGTGGTCGCCATAGAAACATCGACATTTCCAAGTGGCCGAAACATGGATGTGCTCAAATATTGGAGCGCGGAGGAGAACTGGAAGGACGGGCAAAGTGGTTATGCTCTAGCCAAATTGCTCCAACAGTATGCGGTCAATGAAATCGCCAAGTTAGCACTGAGCGCTGATGGAAAGTATGAAATGTTCCCCTCACGCCCACCCCTCGAATCTGGAATCACATAGTATGTACTGATGTCAATCAAGGCACAAGGTAATTGTGAACTCAATTTGTCCAGGTTATTATCCCTTCGACCTAATTCAGAGTGACGACTTTCGATCCTAATTCTTTCTAAGGATGGTAACATAAGACCTTGGTCGAGAGTACAATACCGGTGTAGCAATGGGTATAATAATCAATTTGTGGATGGGTCTTGCTTGCAAGACTACTGAAGGTGGTGCTCGAACTTACGTCCTTGCGGCTCTCACTCCTTCATCGGAACATGGCGCACATTACACAAATTATGAGGAAAAGTATAGGAAGTAGGTTCTATACAACCCCCATCATCATATGTAAGCTAAGAAGATATGTATTTCGGTTGAGCATAACATCTTTGGAGACGAGGGCCAAAATATGCAGTCGCAAGTTCGGAAAGAGATATTGAAAATTGTGGATAAGAAGTATCCAGATGTGGTCGAGAGGGTCCATGGTTGAGTTGGTTCGAGATGTTTTTGAGTGGAAGGTTTCCATCCTTTCTTGTACTGGTGGGTTGTCTCCATGTGCGGTGACTTTGTGGATCTTTGCTGGAAATAAATTAATGCTCCAATGTGACTTCGGTATTCCAGCTTTAATGAACCTCGAAATCTTGCAAATGTAACCTCCAGAGGCCATTGGCTAACAATTAATGCCAATTTTTTGTCCATTTGCTTCAACCCCATGGCTTGAATCATGTGAGAAGACGAGGTATGCCCTATCAATTGAGCCAAGTACTTAAATCAAGACACTTTGTTGCATATCTCAATCGTTGACCACAATTTGTCATTCATCCTGATCATCATGATCATTAGAACGACAGCATTTAGCCTAATTCCTACGGAGTATAACCTTAACAGCAATGACGCGCGAGCGACACGCCAAGCAGTACATCGACATGGGAAAGGCAACGAGGTTAGTCGACAAAACTACCAACGTGTTGATTAAGATAGAAACTTGGGTAAATTAGTGCCGAACATTAGTACTTATTATACATTACCTAGTATAGCTTGAACGTTTGTTAAACGGTCTGGACGATCTGGAGCCGTCCAGTAGACGTTTTTATGTAACGCGGAGTAGTTGACGAGGCTAGGCCAAGAATTGGTTCATTGCTTAACCTTACATAAGACGTTCGTTTTCAACATCACCTCTCTTCGTAGGAGGAAAAACAGGCCGGAATTGACCACTAACAAAGCCCTTGAATAATCCTATTGTTTCATTCTAATTCAGAGAATTAAATGGTTAAATACTTTTGTAATTGAAGATTATTCAAGGATTTATTAGGTATCATTAATTTTTGTATTTTTATTATCTATTGATTTATTATAGAATTTATTAGGGTGATCAATTTTGGCCTCTTTTTTCTCCCAAGCAGAGCACCTGCATGTAGAACTATGACGAAAAACAGATTCTTCTCCAAATTGGGTTTCCAACGGAGCCTTACCAGTAGCTAGGCATACGAAATGAGAATTGAAATGTGCATGGTTTCTTGTACATACTAGGAATTCCCATCCATGATCCAGCTCAACCTGCCAAGGTGGCAGAAGTAACCAATATTCGTACTAGCCATTTAACTCTGATCATCGGTTGGAACTTGAGAGGTGAAGCTATCAAGCTACAATTGTAGATCTTCTGTGGAACGGTGGAATGATTTCCATAGTTGGCCAAAAATGATCCACATCCTAAGCAAGCAAACAAGAAGTCACGGCATTCATATTTGATAAGCGAATTAGTTTTCCATACTTCTACCTAACTACTAAGTAGTTTCCAAGCGGGAATGATATCAAGGCGAACTAGTTGTTCAAATGTTCTCAGAAATAGTGATCCACTTCCTTGCTTATGGAGAATCTACTGAGCTAATAACCCCATCACTAAACTCAAATCATCCGACTTTGAAAGTTGTCTACAGTCTAAATCATTCGATCGTCTCTGTCGATGTCATCCTCGTGCAGCTAGTATAGCTTACTATGCACGACTTAGTATATGCTTCGAGTACTCGCCATAAATAAGAAGCTTGTCTCTCCCTCTATTTTACTTCTCTTCACTGTTGTATTTCAAAACCCCCCATTTCATTATGGTTTCTACTACAAACTTCGATCGAAAGGAGCAGTCCGAAGACAAGGTTTCCTCTTCACAACATCTCGAGCGAGCAACTGACGCCGAACGTCTTGCAGCCACAAATAGAGCCTTAAACGATCCTTTAGCGTCCTACGATGAGAACGAATTAGAAGTGCTTGCCGAGGCTTACGCTCGAAAACATGGGCTCAATGACTCTGTCGATATTTCCGCATTCAAGGCCGGAGCATTACTTGCAAAAGATTCAGGCAGTTTTCGAGCCAGGAACGAACTTTCCAGGACCGAGATAGCTTATCTGGAAAAAGAAAGAACAAGTAAATGGTCTCTGCCATCGCTTTTCATCAAAGTCATTTTGCTTTGTTCAGTTTGCGCAGCTGTTCAAGGAGTAGACGAGAGCGTAGTAAATGGAGCGCAAATATTCTACTCCCGCTTGTTTGGAATTGATGATGAGAACAGTTCCTTAGACCCATGGCTATTAGGTATCACAAATGGTGCCCCGTACGTACTCAATTTCTAAGTTCCCTTCGAGGTTCTAGTCCCTACTATAGCTACCCGAGTCACCACTAACTTCAGACTTTCAAAGATATCTCGGTTGTGCAATTGCTGGCTGCTGGCTGACTGTTCCTTTTAACAATTGGGTAAGTCATATACACCCCTTTTACTGCTAAGTGCAGTTCTTTTCTTTTTTATCCTCGTTTCCCACCAAAACATTCTTCGATAGGCAATGCTGACTCTTCGTAGTGGGGGCGTAGAGGCACCATCTTCGTCACTTGTTTGGTCTCTGCACTAACCTGCTTCTGGCAGGCATTCACCAACACCTGGTGGCACATGTTTATTGCTAGGTATTAAGAGAAACCCCTAAATTTTATTTAAAAAAAAGTTGGCAATCTCTAATATTTGATACTAGGTTCACGCTCGGAATAGGTATTGGTGCAAAGTATGTATTTTTACCCGTCTTTTCTTTCATGATATCAGCAAACCAAGGGCACTTCCTAGCCATCTATGATATCGATGCTAATGTAACATAGGTCAGCCACTGTACCCGTATATGCCTGTGAGACCTCTCCAGCATCGATCCGTGGCGCTATGGCAATGCAATGGCAAGTATTTACTGCTTTTGGTATTATGTTAGGCTTTGCATTTGATCTAGCCTTCTACTATGTTCCCGATACCGCATCTAATATCCATGGACTTAATTGGAGATTGATGATGGGATCTGCCGGAGTTCCTGCTCTCTTCGTTTGTTTCTTTGTTTTCTATTGCCCTGAGTCGCCTCGCTGGTACATGGGTAAAGGGAGACACCAAGAAGCATATCAAGCAATGTGCAGAATCAGACACACCAAGGTCCAGGCAGCACGTGATGTCTTCCAGATGCACATGCTTCTCGAAGCTGAGAATAACATGGGTTCTGGACAAAATCATATCAAGCAATTGTTCACAGTGCCTCGGATTAGAAGAGCAATGGTTGCGTCAGAGATCACAATGTTTATGCAGCAGGTAGGTTACAGCTTCAATTGTTTGAAACACGTAATTATCGGTTAGCTCATAGTGATGAAAAGGGGAGATGCACATCTCTTTCCCCGCTTCCAATTTTCGTGACCCCTCGCATTAAAAAGACATTGAATATAATAGCTGATATAAATACTAGTTCTGTGGCATCAACGTGATTGCCTATTATTCATCCGTAATTTTCGTTGACGCTGGCTTTTCGGAGGTCAATGCTCTATGTGCGTCCTTGGGTTTCGGCATGCTTAACTTCCTCGGAGCGCTTCCTGCAGTTTGGACAATCGACAAGTTCGGTCGACGATGGCTTCTGCTGTTTACCTTCCCGCTTATGTCAGCCTTTCTGTTCATGACCGGCTGGAGCTTCCTAATTCCCGAGGGAACTACTCGCATTGCCATCGTAGCTCTAGGCATCTATCTCTTTTGTTTGGCCTACAGCCCGGGAGCCGGGCCTGTTCCATTTACATACTCCGCAGAGGTAAGGAAGTTGCTTTGTTGTATCTAAATAACCTAACTCTGACAAACATTTAGGCCTATCCTCTCCATGTTCGTTCACTAGGAATGTCCTTGGCAACTGCAACCACTTGGTTCTTTAACTTTGTCCTCGCCATTACATGGCCATCAATGCTGAGAGCCTTCAAGGCCCAAGGCGCTTTCTCTTTCTACGCCGGTTTCAACGTTGTTGGCTTTTTTCTTACCCTCCTCTTCGTCCCAGAGACTAAAAATAAAACACTGGAAGAATTGGACCAAGTTTTCAACGTTCCTACGAGAAAGCACGCCGCATATGGATGGAGTCAATTTACATACCCTATCAGGCGACATATCTTAAGAATGGATGTTGAGAGGCCAAAATTATATGAGAATTTGGCCCAGAAAAACAATCATCATTACAGTCCTACCTCGTCTATGAGGGCTGGAGACGTGGGCGACAATGTTGAAAAGCACGCTTGATTGAGATATCTTAGTGCATTCATCTTAATCAATCATCCAAATGAGTTACAAATTTTGAATAAGTTAGAGTAACCAAATTACTTGGAGGATTTAAATGAACTCAGCCTGGTTGGATGATTTAGATGGTTTTATCTCGAAAACTCCACTCATCTATACAATCTAAACTTTGGGAAACTTTGTACATAGAAATTGTAGCTAAAGCCAATAATTAATTATTGATCACCAATATGAAAAATTACCCTTGGGTATAATGAGGCCCTCTCCATCATGCCACAATGTGACCTCCGGTTTGGTTTATAACGACGTTGATTGGCTGCCACGAAATATGCGATTCATGATTGCATACAACTGCATTGTGGCTGAAGACGTCTCCATCTGATCTTGGAAAAAAAGAAAAGCGCGGATCTTCATACCTCCATTGAGCACGATCTCCCGTGACAAATGAAGTTCTTATTGGTTCACTATGCATCAATCACCAACATGGGAATCATGACCGGTGATTTCACAGCTGTGTTACAACGGATGCAGCTGCGCTACAACGGGATGATCGATCGCAAGATCTATGATTTGCCAACTGATGAAAATCAGCGTAGCGACGTACCTGAACGGCAGACCTGCAAAATAGTGCTACTGCAATGCTGCCAGATGCAAGGTTTATTGTGAAGCATATAGTTCTTTAAACCCCTCACCATCCCCAATTTTCCTATTTGGTTCTATGGCTCGTGAGTTAAGCAACTTATTATTGCTCAACTAAAACTCACACATATATCATGCTACCTCTCATAGCCTATACAGTTGTATCGGTAGCATCGTGTATATGGCTCATCAAGCATCTGCAAACCGCTGTCCTCTCACCTTTATCTCAAATTCCCAATGCACACTTCACGACGCCATATTCAAAGTTATGGTTATTTTGGCATCGAGCAAATGACACTGAGCACAAAGGCCGATATGCTGCTCACAAAAAGTACGGTCCTGTTATTAGAATTGCACCAAGAGAATTGAGTATCAATTGCCTTGAAGATGGTGTCAAAACAGTCTATGGTGGTGGATTCGAGAAAGGGGAATGGTATTCGATGTTCTTGAACTATGGGTATGTAATCATATTCCTCTTAATGCTTTACTTTTGAATATTATTTTGACTTGTCTCCATGTTCAGTCACAGCGTTTTGTTTTCTATGAAGGAGGCACCAGTACACACTGAACGCAAACGCATGTTGTCTCATGTCTACTCCAATTCTTTTATCCAGGCGTCCGAATCATTGACACAGATCTTGAGGAATATTACCTGTAACAAATTTATTCCTCGGATGCGTGTTTGGGCGGAAACAGGCATACCAGTGAATGTATTTCAAGAAAACAAAGCACTGTTCATGGATCTCACGAGCGCATACTTACTTGGTCTCAAAAACGCCTCGAATCTAGTTGAAGATCCCGACAAGAAAATGGTTTTACGAAATTTTGAGCTAGGTCTTGGCGGGCTATTCTGGAAACTCGATGTCCCCAATCTTACGAAATGGATGGCTCGTTTTGGCATGAGTCCGTTAAATAAAGGAACAGCTTCTGCATCCCAAGCAATGGAAGATTTCATTCTCTCAATGGCCAACAAAGCACGAGATACTCTTCAATCTGAAGAAGCTGAGGAGATAGAATGTTATCCAACCGTCTATGGACAACTACGCCAAAAGCTTGAGGCTTCGGAAACCGTTTCTGCGGATCAATTAGACACAGTAGTTGCTGCAGAAATGCTAGACCATATCGCAGCCTCACATGAAGGATTATCAATCACGGTAAGCTATTTGATGGCCGAACTCGCTCGTCATACATCTATCACCTCGCGGCTTCAGAAAGAACTACTTTCTGTGAATCTGAACATAACGCCTTCGCAAGAGATTGATTCGTTACCATTACTAAATGCTATACTTATGGAAACACTACGACTATATCCCGCTGGTCTAGGAGCATTTACTCGCCAAGTTCCGGAAAAGGGCGCTATGATTGGAAAATATTCGGTACCGGGCGGTGTTACTGTCAGTGCATCTGCATATACTTTACACAGAAACTCAGATGTTTTCCCGGACCTCCTAAATTGGAATCCAGATAGATGGTTGGATGCGTCCCCAGAAGCAAAGAAACAAATGCTGCGATGGCACTGGGCTTTTGGTAGTGGAGGAAGAATGTGTATTGGGAACCATTTTGCTATTCGTAGTAAGTGAAATTTCCTCAAGTGAAGGAACTTGATACCGAGACTTGAGAAATTTCTGACAAGAAGGTAGTGATTAAAGCGGTAACTGTAGCAGTTTTCAAGGAATTTGAGAGTGTAACAGTGTCGGAGACGAAGATAGAGCCAGTGGAAGGCTTTATAGGACATCCTGCGGGCTATAGTATTATGCTGGCATTCAAGAGAGCAGATACAGGCAGGTCTTAGCCAATGTTTCAATAGTCTCCAAACAGTGTTAAAATATTTCCCTCTCCAGAAGATAATTCGAAGAAAATCAGCGAGCCTTAAGATCATTTTGCTGCATTCTAAGCATTCGCTTTCACACGGCTGGCTGAAGCAATTTAATTCAAAGAGCGAAAAGTTTTGATGGTGAAATTGCAGCGATTTATTTCGTGGTGCCTGAAAAGGACGCCTCTTCATAAGAAAAGCTAGGTAGACATGAGCGAGGAACCGGCAACATACTCCAGGAGGAAGAAATTCGCACATTCTCGTCTGCGAGTCTGATATCATGGGCCATGATAAGTTCCTCCAGAAGCGACTTTAACAGACGAGAGACATAATTTTTGGCTTGGCTAGGTTATAGATCAGCAAAACAATATAGCAGGCCTACCTTTGGAAGTTTCGAAGGGGGAACATACCGATGGCAATTGGTTTCATCCGAGCAGTTTCCTCTAAAATGCTATCAAGAAAAAGAAGCTCTGTAGCATCATGCTATGCTTTGTATGATCGAGAAATATCTTCACGGAAAGGCTCCAAGTATTTTGGGTACTTGTAATTATGAATCAGTATTAAATTATCGCGAATCTGTCTACAAGCAAATATGAGCACACTGTGTAAATATGCGTTATAGATACGTACTCTTTGTTCCCTGGATAGCTTTGTCCTTAGTCCTCTCCTTTGCCAACGGACCTATATACTTGTTTATATCCTGAGTTACTCAGATCCCTTCATTATGATCCAACGAACATGTCTAATGCTATCTTGTTAGTTTTGGCTATCATTTGTATTCATCAAATCTCACGGGTGTGATAAGAGGAATCGTTGCAAGCACAGGGGTAAGAAAAACCATCCGCAAATTCATGACACCTTCCAATAAGTAGAACATAAGAAGAGGGCTGGTTTTTGTGTCCGGTAAGGTAAGTTCGCACCAACTCTTGGAATGTATCTTGTAAGATAAATGAAAATGCTACAAATGAGGTATTTCATGCATCCTTAGGAAGTGGGTAGGGTAACGAAATTTCTTATTATACATCAGCATAATCAAACTTCACACGGATGTACATATTGCAATGTTAAAAACTTTCGGTTAATTTCGTTCTCGAATGACAAACTGGATGTAAAATAGTTTACGATGTCACACACTTCTACATCTAGGTATTGGGTTTATTTCTGATTGTCAAGTACTTGCTATATGGATATGATGTTGTCTAGAAGATGAGTTATTTATCCCGATATCCTCCTATTCGACTACGACAATTTTTGGAAGAGACAAGGAACAAACATGCCATGGAAAACATGTGCCGCAATTTGCAGCGCCGCAACCTGCACATCCTACAAATACCCAGGTATTGAATACAAATATTGAATATCAAAGCTCAATTTTGCATAACCGACATCGCCACACTTCTGCATTATACGTACATGTTTTTGAAATTGTTGGGAGGAGATACGTAGCTGTGTTGTCGTATTTAGCCTACCTGTGCATCTGTTTTACATCAATAACTGACAAGTGAACCTACTATTTAAATAATCTTTTGATTCGCAGGATCTTTTTCATCAAGTAAACCTCTTGCATTCCTTATAGCAGATCTCCAGCATTTCCGATTTCTTTCCACTCATCAACATGTGGTGGCCATTAGGCAAAAAGTACCCAGAATGCCACCCGGCACAGGTTAATTCCAAAACATATGATTTTGTCATAGTTGGAGGTGCGTCGTTTCTACCATTTTCTCAATTTCCCAATCCACTATCGATCTCCTAGCTAACATCTGTGGTGACTTCAGGTGGCACCGCGGGGTGTACACTAGCTTCTCGATTGAGCGAAAATCCCGAAACGTCCGTTCTTGTCCTCGAATGCGGTTCTGCAAATGACACATGGCTATCCCGCAATCCTCTAATCTCTTCCGATCCGACTCGTCCAACCTTTGGTGCTACGAGGTGGAAATCCGAACCCATGAAATACTGTGATGATCGTCGGAGTGGAGTAATCCGCGGAGAAGTTCTGGGCGGCACTTCCAGAATTAATAGTATGATTTATACGCGCGGGACTCCTGCCGACTACGATGCATGGGCATCTTTAGGCCATTCTGAGTGGAGCTATGAGAAATTGCTGCCTTACTTTGTTAACAGCGAGACCTCCCTTGACTATCAGGATTCAAATTATCATGGAAACACAGGTGAGTAACCTCGAGTATACCATTCGTTCCCCTCTTATACTGATCTATGTATGCTACAGGGCCATGGATCACACAAACCTTCACTTACTTCAACTGGCTATTCCAAGCCTACCGAGCGTTAGCTTTCTTTGGACCCCTCTGATTATGATCTCACTTCTGACTTTCGGTAGTTTCACTGATTGTGCCAAAGCGATGGGGTTCATTGCCGTCCCAGATTGCAATGCGCCGGATGCTCCCCCGGAAGGAGTCGCAACACTCTCTCTTACTCTTAGTAAGCGCAGGGAGCGTGTATCCAGTTTTGAAGCGTTTCTTCCCAAGAAGATTGCACTGGAAAGAAGAAACCTCACGATTTGCACCAACACTCTCGTCTCTAATATTGTATTTACGCAAGAAAAGGGGCTCCCGCGTACTGAAAAGATACTCTTTAAATCATCAGATCGAAAATCTGAAGGCACTTATTCAGTAAGGGTCAACAAAGAAGTCATTGTGTGCTCGGGTGCTATAGGCTCACCGCAAGTGCTTATGCTCAGGTATGTTTTCTTCTTTGCCCCAATTTTTCTGCGCATGGAGAAAAAAGACAAGCAATAAAGACGCGAAAGAGAGAGAGAACTAACTTGCTGATCGCGTAGTGGTATTGGGCCTCGTGAGAGTTTAGAGGAACACGGTATCAAAGTGGTGCATGACCTGCCGGGGGTCGGGTCTACATTGGTATGCTTAGGTTTATTCTCATCAACAGTGGATACTTACTAACCAACCTGCTCTGGCACAGACTGACCACCATAGTATCCCAGTCGCTTGGGAGGTACCGGCAGCCGAATCATTAACTTCTATGGCAACTAGCCCCCTTAAAATCGCACTTGAGCTTTTCCAATATATTTTCTTCCAAGTTGGCCTCTTCAGCATTCCCGTTCAGACCTTAGCGCTTTATGTTCGCTCTCGAATGATCAAAGAGGATAGTACTGGACTTGTCAAAGAAGCTTCGTCGAAATCTTCTGATCTTCAAAGCCTCATCCCCGACATTGAGCTCATGCCACTTTCCACAAGTGGTATGGATAACTTTGACGAGCCGGAATTCATAAACATATTCTCTAAAACACCCATATTTTGTGTTCTGGCCACGATTCTTCAGCCCAAATCCAATGGAACGGTCCGCTTGGCATCGTCAAATCCACACGACAAGCCGAAAGTTGATTTTGGAATCCTGTCCGATCCCTCGGATTACAACATTGCTCGCAGCGCAGTTCGACTCACACTTTCCATCGCAGATAGAATGAAAGAGTCTGGGTTCCCTCTTCTTCGAAATATTACCTTTCCTGCCGAAAAACAAGAACTTGATGTTAAGAGCAATACTACAGAGGAGATGGATAAATTCATCCGTCGCCGAATAAGAACAACATTTCACTATGCATCTACATGTAGAATGGCACCCGAGCATGATCCTAAAGCTCCAGGAGTGGTAGATGGCGAATTGAAAGTCTATGGTGTGAAAGGCTTAAGAGTTTGCGATACGAGTATTTTTCCACAAATTGTATCGGGACACTTGCAAGCACCTGCTGTCATGGTGGCAGAGAAATGTGCGGATTTGATTAAGAATGAGCTATAAAAGATTTGGGTTGGTTTCGGCGAGCTTGTTTCCTTTCTGGTGGCTAGCTTTTAGTTTGTGATAGGGCTTTCATTAGCGCTAGTCCATCCGTGGAGTCTCAGTATAGCGTAATAGGCCCTTGGCCTCAACTCAAATTATTAGGTAGATTGACACTAATCAATTACTTATCGTTTTACTCGTAGCTCGAAGTGGGTTATTTCATAACCTCTCCGTTCATGATTGAATGGTTCTCTTGGCACTCTGCGTGAGTTTCCACTTCTACATTATCCATTTTCCTTGATGAACTTTCATCTTGCTTTGGAGCAAGAATATGAGAAGCTTCTGTACCTATATATTTCACATTGGAACTCGATTAAATCAAATGAACATTCGACACTGGATTAGAGCAATGGACTTTGTAAGAATAATGGTATTCAATTAACTGATCTCGCTGTTGATCGAAATTCTATCATTTCTACCCATCTTTCATCCACCCCTTATTTATGTATTTCGTTTTTGCAATTATCCAAGGAAAACTAATATATCGCTTTCAGGATGTTGTGGTCTCATTGAACGCCCTGCCCAGTTGGTCCAAGACTCCATCAATCCAATACCCATTTAATCCATCCATCATAATATTATGTTCCATCATAACACCGGTAGAAATAACCCAAGAAGACTTTTTTTTTGCATAATGAATGTAGGTATAGATCAATCGCTGGCAATGAATGCAATCTATCAATCGGTAGCCTCAGGAGTGGCTGTCTCGCTAACACCCTGACTGGAAACCTCCAAAATCTTGGGTGGTATGCCTCCCATCGTTGGTTTTCCATCGAGGCTCAATCCACCCAAGCTATTGAGCGGCAATCCTCGTGGGTTGTTCTCCTTCATCTTCTTCTTGAACTCCCTTTCGATTCCATGTTTGACCGCATCCAGTACGGTATCCACGGTCACTCTAGGTTTGTATGCTGGCTCAGTTCCCTCTTGGTACACTCCAGTTCGTACTAAGATCGAATACCAATCATTCTTAGACCTCTCGTTGAATTGATTAGTACCTCTGATATCGGACTCTGGAGTGTCGCCGACGAAGTAAACAGTCTCGGGAGGGCGGTTGCAGCGATGTTCGTCCTTGCGCCATTGCTGTAGCAATCTGGTAGCAAATTCAAAGGTTCCAATTTGAGGCTTTCCGAAAGCGATGGTTTCTAGCTCTTTACCCTTGGTGAGGTCTCTGAAAAGCATTTCGGTCATTTTTCGTAAAGCGCCCATACCGAGACGAACATTTTCGTGAGCAGCTGACCAGACGATATCGCTGTGGGAGAAGTAGATTGGTGGCCCCTCATCGAAAGTTTCGGAAAGGGTACCAATGTATCCTCCTTTGGACATGGCAAGATCGAGCATAATTTGAACATCGCTAGCCCAATCACGACTATCGGCGAAGACAAATATGGCTTCGATTTTAGTTTTGCTATAATCACGACCACCACGTGAATTTTTCAATTCTTCGGTCGTGAGTTTGCGGAATGGAGTGGTATGTTCGTTGTCTTTAATGATATCGCCTGGAGTGATGACATCACGGAATCCGTAACCTTCGGCGACTTGCCTGCATTTTTCACCCTCACCTCCAATTACAAGAACAGTTTCGTATTTTTCAACCATTTCTCTCATAGGAGTATGACCTGGAGAGAATTAGTATTTGAGTTGCAAGTACATTTCAATGAATCCTTCAAATGGAGGAGTTCAGCATGGGGTATGGGTACGTACCGCAAATGAACTGTGAAGGTGACACTTCAATGTCCAGTTGTCTTGAAAGATCAATACATCTTTCTGCTTCAGTCTTTCCACCTCCATTTGTCAAGAATATGTATGGACTAGTGACGTGTCAGCAAGGGAGCTCTTCACATTATTTGTTGAAAGCAACATACATTCTAATACCATATTCGTTCTCTCCATTCAACATTCTCATAGCTTCAATAGCTTCTGGAATTGGTTTACCACCACGGATGAGAACACCATCGATATCAAAGGCGTAAGCAAATGAATCAGTGGTGGGGACATCGGCAGGGGTGAGTGGAGTTGCCGGTGAGTCTGGAGAACTCGACGAAGATTCCTCTTCCTCAAGGTTCATAGCACTGAGTTCGTTTCTGGCATTTTCCAATGAAGCTGCAAAGTTTCCACCTTGGTATGAAGTTCCTCTAGATAAAGGTTCTCTCATTAATCTTTCTGGAACAACGACGACCGGTCCGCCGGTTGAAACTTCTACTGCGTTGGTAGTCATACTTGAAAGTCTGCGAATTCCAGGTCTGGGTCTGGCAGCTGCAGAAGGTTTGAGGGTGGATGAAGGCGCCATTTTAAGTAGTTATGAGCGTAGTACAAAATTGTAGTAAGTTGGCAGGAACAGTCAGCGATTCACTTTCGGGTAACGGGAACTGCTTCGCCCGTTTGTTGTTTGGATCAAGAAACTGCGGTTAACTGCGCGCGCTTCTCTTATTTGCGTAGGAGCAATGAATCTGTGGGTCGAATATGTTATGCTGGCCTGAAACGTTTGACCAGAAGAGGTTATGATTGTCAGGTAAGATGCGCTTAAATCTTATTCAATAATCATACACCTTGAAGTGTTAAACGGTTGATGTGACCGGAGAATTGAACGATCCTAGACAAGATATATCAAGAATATAGACGAAAACAAGTTGAGAGATAAGTTGATAGAGATCACCCAAATTTAAGAGGGGAGGAATCTGTTAGTTTTAAAGAAGCAGAAAGGCAAATGTCTTGATTCAAATAAAGTAGATCCGTCTCTGGACTAGAGAGGAAACTACTCTCTAAGTATGTTCGGGCCTTAGACTAAGTGGAGTATCTTTTAGCCTTGAATATCTCTTCAATGATGATGACTATCAACTTCATCATGGGAAAAAGCTGAACATGACGGTGAATTGCTGAAACCGCTTTTTGTTAGTATGACATCGAGCTACATCTTGCTCCATCGTGCCTGCCTTCATGCTTGTTACCTGGTCAATATTGATCGGGATTTCATTATGTGGATCCCCCAACTATTATGGTACGCAAGGTTCGCCCCCACTGCTGTAGACCCTGTCTCGAGCCTGTCTATATCTGGTGTTGTCGAATGGTAAAGCACAATGGTATTGCTTGGGGTGCTCGGGTGGCTATGGGTATTTTTTTCATCTCGTTCAAATCAACCGGTTCCCGTCCTAGAGGGATCGGCTCGGTGGTCTGCACTCTTGTACAGAATTGCATTTGCATTGGCATTTGCCTTGATATCCTTGTGAAATTGTCTCCGACTTTTACCGTCGATTGTTACATGGACCGAAACTTTGAATGCTTGATTGTTGATGTTGTTAACTTGTTTGGTTAAGAGCAAACCCGAATACGTTTCATCAACATATTCTGCTGATAAGGAAAAAGTCTTGGATCTAGGGGTAATAATTATGACGCAGTTGTGCATACATAGTTCCACTAAACCCAATTTTGGAAGGCGTGGAAAGTATGAGTTGGGTGGGATGGTGCCACCATCATGGTGGTGCCATGGCCCATGGTGGGATGGATGGAGATGGAGGGGGTGGGGAGATAACATGATTCTGTCTAGGCCCCTTCAGAGTTCCACTTAACCACGTAAAAGAATCGAGAAAGGAAGAACTTGCTGTGTAATTTGGGCCGATGAGAGCGTACTTCGTATACTGCACAGTCAGATTCAATCTCGATTCTCCACCCGAGGCAACAATCATTATCAAGTCGTTTCTAATTGCAGGGAAATTGATGCCATTCAGACAATCCACTCTGCTTTGTAGCTTCGTATGTACCGATTTCCAAGGCTTTGAAGTTTGAAGGCAACGAACGACGGTGGAGACAATTCATTTGCACGGCCACCTACCTAACACAGCCATTGTCCATGTATGAGGCCGAGATGCTCGCATCATCGGTCATGAATCGTTAGTTGAAATCACTTTGTGGTTCGTGGCGGTTGAGCATATTGAGATTTTGGGGGGGAAAGAAAGATCCAATCGATTGCCGCTACAGGAAATGTGTATCTTTATCAGATCGATTGGCGCTATTAAAACAGATCTATAATCTCTTTTGATGAATCCTTCGGGAGGAGCATCGATACGCCCCTCGTTTAGGTAGAATGAGTAAGTAGGTGGTAATGAAACTTTGTGTTACAGAGTAGAGAGTCCTAAAGAATGTGCTCTGTACGCAAAAGGAAGAACGTGTTCAAAGTCGTGACTCGTCCTTTCCTTACCATGGGATTTTTCCGTGAAAGCCATATTCTCAGACTCAATCATTGTTTTCAATGCTCTCTTGCGTTCTTGCGTTCTTGCAAGGGAAGTGGATACGGAAAGAAAAGTATTTTCCATCTATTCAACCAACCAACATTTCGCCAGCCTCAAGCTAAACTTCATCGGTGAGCGCTTACATACGCACTCGCCTATTTGGCCAGTGAAAAGGGACGAAATAGCCCCAGTGTACAGAGCGCCATCGTATCGATTAAGTTCATTGATAAGGAATTCCTTCAAATCACATATATTTCTCACACTTGTAAGAAATCCTCCAATCCGAATGAACTATTCGACACCGTTTCCTAACTATCAAATTTGGCCGAAAAACAACGCCGTTCCCTGAGGATCTTTTGATTAGTTGCATTTTGCCAAGGAAGCATCTATAGATGAATTATCGAAAGTTGTTGCGGTTTACGATGTTTTCACGATTTACACAAGCAAGTTGCTTTCTTTTCTTGTTTATGAACACTTTCTCTCACATTCCCCCCTCCCCATTGTTTTTTGAAACTCTACTCCATGGTTTAACATGTGAACGTGCTTTTTGGCCCACCAACTCACTCCCACGTTGAGACATCATGGGAAGAAAGCGGGCTTTTGAGGACCCAACATACCCAGAACCTACATTGCATATGCATTTGAAATTTCAAAAGAGGTACTTGTCAACATTTCAATATCAGCAGCATCATCATGCATGATGAGTATTCAAACAATCATGACTCTCAGGGAAAAATGGGTCTTTCCGCATGTACTTCGTGCTCACGTAGGTATTCGAATTTCACATGCACATATTGATGCTAAAAAGGGTGTCAGTTGTTGTCAGCTTTCCGTGTCACCTATTTTTGTTAACATGCATCCATCAGGGGAATCCTAGGTGACGACGGAACAACGAAAATAACGCAAAAACTACGTCAGTTCGATGTCAAACGAAAACAATTGAAGCTGCGTGAATTTAAGGAAAACGACTAATGAACTGCCGAGGAGCTACTATTCTCCGTTCGGTTTACGGTAAGTGCCTGAGAATTCATCTACTGACAAACAACACGTTCTCTTGAATTTCAACTTAGGAAAGTTCAGCAGTTGTGATTACTTTTCAATTTTCCTCTCCAAACTTCTCCACAAATTTCCAACCGGCCAGGATGAAATTATCTGGGGAAACCCTCAAACCCATGAAATCAATTACCTGACACGGCGACTTGCAGAAAAATCAGTGGAGCTGGAAAATACGAGTCAGTATTGAAATGCAACGCAAATTTTGAAGCATCCTTGTATCAACTAAACATCCCCAGGTTTTTACCCCTCGCAGTGTTCTGGTGGGCTATTGCGGGACTGATGAATTTTGAAGAACAGTCTTATTTCCTTTCAAGTTGAGATGAAATGCGATGATATCTACACTCGGCAAAGTCGGCAAACTCTAAATTCATTTGGGAAGATTGGTGTCATAGATTCGGGTGGCTTCAATGAGACTGCTGGATGCACACCTGCCTTTAGTGAAGGTATGTTGGTCTCCAGGGGAACTTGTACTAGTGACAAATGTACCTACTCTTTGATGGATCTCCTTGAGCTAAAGACCAAGAAGGAAAAGTCAGTGATCGAGATGATCCGGGGTACTCCGCATTCCGTGCGCGTGCAAGACTCTACCTCTTGATGAATTGGGAAATCCGAGCACGGCACGGATCACCGAGTCCATATGGGCAACGGGCATGTCTCAATTCCTATGGTCTAGTTATGCAATTGAGGGTATGATGCTTTGAAGTATTAGCGGACGGAGTCCAAAAACCTATTCAAATGACACAATTTAGCTACTCTGGATGGCAGGCTGTTGATAATAGCTGATCTGGATGTTCAGAACGCCGTCGTCACTTGATTTGACGACTTCGTCTGAGTTTGTTTGTTTCAAGTGCAGAGCTGACTGCAACATCCCCACACTGTTCTTGCTACAATTTGGACGTATGGAAATTAACATCTTGAAACATCTCAAGAACCTGTGCTATTCCCTGAAACAAGCCACTGATTTTCACGGATCCTTAGTATGGCCCGGTAATATGAGTCTAAATGATTAATGAGTGTATGTTTTAGGCGGTCAAACAGTGGTAGAGGTTGTAGGGCAATCCTTCGCATACCGCACAGGGCCTAAAAGACTACATTGAGCAGGCAGAACAAAGAGACGTGTAGCGTCTTTGAGATAAGGGAGGAAACAAAGGCTGAAAGCTCACACGTAACAAATACATTGATCAAACAGGAAAGCGGAACATGAATACAAATACCCCCTAACGACAGAAGCGATAGAAGACCACATGATCAGATAGTCTCTTCGCTCACAGTATTTGCCTTTCTTCAGACACTTCATTTCCTATTCACCATGTTCTGGACAAAATCACCTGAAGTAAAAGTTAGCAATATTGTTCTCTGTAATTCCAAGCTTACACATATCAACCTGTCTAACTTGGCATAAACAGCACTCTCGCTTCTATCATCTTCGAAGCAGCATTTGAATTAGTCCCCATTTCCATCTATTTCCGCGAAATTTTCAGCTTGTCCCGCCATTTCAATCATCTCAGAAAGGTTTGATCATCACTATAGTGTATTTAGTGTCTTTAGTTATCAATAAAAAATCCCAAGCTGAAAACTGGACACTGCAGACGTATATAGCGCAGCCCTTGTTTAGCAGCCACAGTCAGGTGATCTTGTCAACTTTGGTGGAACCAAAACGGTGGGATCCCCCAATTCATAATATGCATCGTGTGTGCAGCTCTTCATCTTATCCTGGCTCTTTGAACTCTCTATTAGCCTCTCACTGGGCTCTGGCATCTGGCCTGGAGGTTATCTTGGATGAAAGTGTATTCAGAGAGTCTCATGTTGCATGTGAGTGCATCTGATGGTGGCGATTGATAGAAAAATAGAAATGACAATCCCTAAATACACGAAATTTACCTAGTCTACCCCTCCTCTATTTCTTGTCCAAAAACAGCCCTGAGAATATCGTTAGAGAGCAGTATCTTGTAGATGGGTAGGGTAAAAGTTTCTTTCCCGGGGGCCCATATCACCAGTCGGTGTGTGGTTTGATCTGACATTGCGAAAATTGACTTAACAATATCCCCTAAATTAACAATTCAGACTCTTTAAAATTCTATCTGATGAATGATCCTAGACCAAATAATCAAGTGATAGATCCTGATATACAACAATCACAAAATGAATCTCCTACAATTTTGAATTATGGAGAGCGTCCTACCAATCCGTGCACCCACCCGCGTGCCAATGGTTTGTTCCAATCTTTCAATGGAGAAGGCATTGTAAGTATCAGGGAAAGCCTCTTAGTTGCCTCCCTAGATAGATATAAAGTTAACCAATAACACTCAACAAAATCTTCGTATGGAGTGGCCAGCGGGAATTTTGCTGTTGAATGGTGGGATGGTAGGTATTCATGGACAATCCACCTCAAAACTTTAAATTTGAGCTTAAGATCAACCTTATTTCGTGGTTCTCATAAGTTATCTCCATCTTTCAAAGTTCTGATTCTTTAATCTTTCCTAAATATCAGTACCTAGGTAGCTGGTATCTAAGACTCAAGTCCGCCTAGAACCGAACGAGCCTCATTTCCTCTGAGGTTATAGGGTCCTTTTATACTGTAGTTTATAGTGAGAGTTTTATTGCCGAAATCTTTAATCTTATAAATCTAGATCTCTGGTTTCAAACAATCAAGTGTATGAAGTACCGCTTCTCTGATGATTATGGAAGTATCCATGTGATGAGTGGCAATAGATTCATCAATCATTCCATTTAATTCACGCTTAATGGTGAGTTGAATTGATGTAATGAGTAGGAGGTGATCTACCGTATGTATACAGTCAAGTAGGTAGTTTCGCGTGAATACTAACAGTACAGTTAAACTAAGCCTCTCGTAAGCGTAAGTACTCGGCTTGTCAACGGGAGTAATCTGCTAATAGGAATGAATCAAAGGTATCAAGTATGATTCCCTGAAGAACCATGAAAGAAGCAAAGCAAAATATCAGTGTTGAAACCCTTGACGAGCCAACCCATTGCCAAAGATACTACGATAGGTAATGAAGAGTTGTTTTTGAAAAGGGCAGAGTGAATAAAGGGAGCGTAATAAACATAAAACATTTTCGGTTATCAACCTGACAGTACCCTTCTTTCTATATAGGAACAAATTATTACTTGCTTATGGTTTCATTAACATCCGACAGCTTGTCCATTCAGAATCCCACATCCCACATCCAGCTTTTCGAAAACCCGAGAGAATTCAGCAAAGCTTAGAAACAATAAAATTACCAGTCTTAACCACCTGAATAAGTCATCATGGAATGCATCATGAGATTCCCCACAGCTATTCTCTTCTCGGGAATATGCATCTTCGCCTACTATACCATGGCAGATCCTCAATCTCTTGCCGATACCCAGAAGTTTTTCCAACTGTCGAGACAATTAGTCAACGAGTTCGTAAAATTCGCCGTACGTTTCCTTTGGTTAACAACTTGCGGAAGAACAATCTTTATTCAGAGTCTTTTTATGACCCACCTTCTAGAAATAGCTGGTCCTCTTATACTTCATTTTCCCAAGGAGAACGAAAGACCCACCACGAATACCTCTGTTACCCATTTCCTGGTGCACTGGGCATTCGTGCTTATGTTCATGCTTGAGGCGTGTGTTCTGATGCTTTATCCAGATGTCAAAGAGGTCGACGTCCACCGTTTGTCTTGTTTTATACAAGGTGTATGGATTCATGTCTGGATCGGGTTCTATGTGAGCATAGATGGTTTCATTTATATGTCATCAAAATTGGATTTTCATACTGATATATTTGATGAATAGGCATTGTATTGGAGATCCTGCTCCAAAAACCGTGAAATCACTGCACCCAACCTCGATAGAGCGGCACTTGTTGCATCCAATTCTAACCAGAAGTAATACGCTTTGCAAAATTCGATAACGATCATGTTTAGGCGTCGATAGGTGGTCATTGGTTTTGGGGCAAGTACCACGGGGTTTCTTGACTGGGAAGGCGTTGCGAAGGAAGGCATAGATGGGAGGAAATATTCTCCTGGATGGGTCAATGAGGTTTGGATGACTCGATCTCTTCTCTGAATGTACAGATTTGGTTGTGGGATATGATTGGGATTAGCGTACTCCTCTGTTGCTGCCGTTTCTACATACTAGCATACATAATCTACTTTCTGTTTATTCCTGAACAATGTTACTACTAGTGACCAGAACAATGTTCATTCATTTTTAATACAGCACAGTGAACCTTTTAAATTATCAAAACTTCACCATATTTTGTTTCGAAACAATATTATAATTTATACTATCACAGCCCAACAACACTTTCATTCGAAAGGTTTGTGGAAGACTACCTAGCTCTTATATATGTATTGAAAGTCTGTGACAATGTTCATCTAATATCATCCCCCAGTAGGTATACTAGTAAAGAAGAATGGAATTAACTAGAATTTCACTTTCTCACAATAATGTAAAGCTTTTCACCTTATAACATCGAGCCTTTCTGTGCCTGGCGATAGTGGGAGTATGAGTTAAAGGTGGAGGTGGAGGTGGGGATGAAGGAAGAAATTAGGAAAGTTGACGAACATCTGACGACTTTGCCGCGAGTCCACTGTCGATCCGAAGAGTCATGACGCCAGAGGTTACGAAGCAGAAGGAAACCATAAGCAGGAGAAATGATGATATATAGAAGAAAAGACGGATATATGACAAAATCATTGTTGCAAAGAGATACTGGTACGACAGGAGGTGCTGGTTAGGTAATCAGAGGATTCTCAATTCGGCAGGTCTTCATTGTTTCTTGCACTACTTGAATCTGAATTCTACGTACAAAGTCGAAAAACGCTTCTAGATCTCCTCGACCCAGTATGTTTACCATGGGGAAGATTTTGAATGCTGCTGCTATCCAGCAACAGCGGCATGTGACAAACGGCTTTGGGCCAGTCCCAGCAGCCATAACATTTCCTGGGGTAGCCGCCATTTGGCCTCGTCTACAGATACAAGAGAGGATTGCTCGCCGACAGGCGATCAAGCCGCTTAAGCCATCTCTTGATACCCATTAATTTGTCGTGTATGAAGGTAATGAGGCAGTGGATGGATGAGGGTTGGTCGATGATCATAAGGATGGACCTCGGTGGAGTAATCTTTTATGACACCAGTCAAAGGATATCAATCAATGAAATGAAGCCTCATCGTAAAATGCAATTCGTACATCGTCCACCAACATGCATCAATAACCACTGACATGCAACTTGTCTCGGGGACCTCGATGATGATTTCACATCCCATCATCTTGACGGGATTTCATTTGCAGGGCCATCTGTCTAAATTGCCATAGGAACTACGTATGTTCATGCAAGCGGTATTTTACAAGCTGAAATATATGAAATTAAGATTCATGGAAGACCATATGAGAGACTACTCGCAGGTATCAATGTAAAGATGTGATAGAAGGGTTCACTTCGTGGAGAGTATTTGACAGGCTCAATTTGATGCCCAGAGTCACGGCATCAACGAGATAGCCTGCCCATCAAAAAGTGAAATCCTAAGAAACTAAATCTGAAGGACCATTTGATCGTCAAATCTAAATTGAGACATTGAAAAGCATTGGGATGTCAACTTTGAGCCGGAATTGTGAGAACTTTGAGTTTGGTGTGAGAATTATATCGTTCGTCATTGTGTTGGTGTTAAATTGGGGGCCAGAATAGACTGGAGAAATGGGGAAACGACGCTAATAATGACCCTGAATTTTTGCTCAAGCAAATTGATGTCTCGCTCCTGAACAACCTTCATCAGCAAGAGCTACTTAACTCCAGGATTCTATATCACAAGAGCCATAAATATGAAAGAGAATCGTAAGGTAAAGAGATAAATCCTCAATCTTGCGGTAAGTGAGTATGTAAGTGTACCTTCTACCTCTTAATCAATAATGTGGGGTTTTATTATCTTCGCTTTATGCTACATGCTGCATTGTTCATTAATGGTCTTCTCCAACCCCTAAACATACCGCTGAATTTCTTACCATCTGCCTCGTAATCGATTCTACCATTGTCCACTTGAACCAAGGCAAAATCTATACAGAAGTTGTACACGAACAATACAATGGATTCCGATTCTTCTACCCCCTCGATCTCATATCCAATTATCGACTCCCACATCCACCTCTTCCCCGAAAGCGAGCTCGATACCCTTGCCTGGAATACTCCTTCAAATCCTTTATACAAACAACAGTCTCTTGATGAATACACAGCTGCTGCGTCTTCTGCTCCTGCACTTGAAGGTTTCATTTTTCTCGAGACAGACCGCAAGAATGATCTGAAACGCGGGGAAGAAGATGGCTCGGGATGGGAAATGCCACTTAAAGAAGTTTCTTGGCTCAAACGAATAGCATTAGGTCAACCTCGTGAAGGAGAAGGACACACTGCGGAACATGCAAAGCTTTGTAAAGCGATTATACCATGGGCGCCAGTGCCGAGTGGAGAGAAGGCGTTGGAGAGATATGTTAAGGAGGTTGAGAGGGAGGCGGAAGGGAGTTGGGGGTTGGTGAAGGGATTTAGATATTTGGTACAGGATAAGGAGAAGGGGACGATGCTTACAGAAGGATTTATAGAGGGATTAAAGTGGCTGGGAAGGAAGGGGTTTGTATTTGACTTAGGGGTCGATTTACATTCAGGTGGAAGATGGCAATTAGAGGAGGCAGTCGAGATGATGGAGAAGGCTCATGAGGGAGTTGAGGAAGGAGAAAAAGTTACGGTCATTATAAGTGAGTTTGGTTATTTGAATTTGTGCTACGATATTCGAGCAATGCTAACATTATTCCTTAAACAGATCACCTCTGCAAACCCGACTTCTCGATCTATAACACTCAAACAGATCCCTCTTTCCTTGCCTGGCGCACCACCATGTTCAAACTCAGCAAACACAGCAATACATATATGAAGCTCAGCGGATGTTTCTCAGAAATGCCGGATTCTCTCAAGAAAGCCCCTGTAGATGAAATCGTCATGGCACTACAGCCATATTTAGCAGTGGTTCTTGCTACATTTGGTCCTTTCAGAACAATGTTTGGATCTGACTGGCCAGTTTGCACGATTGGGGTTGAGGATGCTTGGGGAAAATGGAGAGATGTGGTCATGAGGTTTTGCTACTTGGCTAGTTTGAGTAAGGAGAATCAAATTATGATTTGGAGTGGTACAGCAATCAAAGCGTATAAGATTGGAGGGGAGCTATGAAAGATTGGAGGGGAGCTATGAAAGATGGGCTCTGAATCTCAGAAAGGGTGAAGCAAAAGGTAGCAGCAGGAGTAAAGGTCTAACTAAGCAAGCGAATATCATTCCATAGTTGGGATTATTGTATTTTGATTCTTCATGATTCTTCCAAATAAGTCTAGATATTTTAGGAACAGCGATATTTAACGATCCGTTGTCTTCACAAAATCTATACGGGGGGTTGTGCAATGAATATATCGTATCCACCTTCTTGTTCCAAATTTCTGCTCACATTTCGAACCTCAAAAAGGCTCCATTCCGTCCACATTAAATGACCCCGTGTCAGTTTTCCACTTCATTTATCCAAATACTAATCGACGCCGCCGATGGTCTAGTCTCGTAAATTTTTACCCCGCCATAGCTCGCTTCGGGTCAATAAATCCCTAGTGGGGTCCTCGTTCATTGATACCCCGAATAAATATACCTTGAGGACCTCGGGAGTCATTGCGACATTCAACCAGATCAATAAAAACATACGTTTCCTACTCGGGATCTCCAAATTATCTACTTGAACTCTCATCTTCTGCTCTCAATCCCAGAATTCAAATACCCCAATCCAAAATGTCACAACCTCCACCCCCCGGCGTCTACGTCCCCGTTCCTACATTCTTTCTCCCCCGCTCTTCTCCCTCCTACTCTTCAATCGCTTCGCCCCTAGATACCGAAACCCAAGCTGCGCATTCCATCCACCTTGCTCGTTCGGGCATTAAAGGATTGGTCGTTTTGGGTAGTACGGGGGAAGCCGTACATCTTTCGAATGCAGAGAGATATACGGTTTTGAAAGGATGCAGAGATGCGTTGGATAAAGAGGGATTTGGAGAGGTAGGGATTATCGCCGGGACAGCGAGTCAGAATATTCAGGAGGTGGTGGAACAATTGGGCGAGGCGAAGAAGGCGGGGAGTGGATGGGGATTGGTGCTTGCACCGGGGTATTTTTCGGGGGCTAGTACACAGGAGGGAATTATTGAGGTGAGTTTCTTTTTGCTATTTGGGAATGATGGAGAATTGATCACGGCGGGAACTATACTCAGATGAACAAATTACTAATCAAGTCTTCGCGCAAAATAGTGGTTCAAAGCAGTCGCAGACCAAAGTCCCATCCCAGTAATGATATACCATTATCCCGGCGTCTCGAACTCTGTGCGCGTTACTCCTCAAACCTTTACCACACTCGCTGCACACCCCAATATCGTCGGGTGCAAACTCTCTCATGGAGATATTTCATATCATGCGCAAATAGCACTTTCTCCTCATATCGACCATTCACATTTCTATACTTTTACTGGATTGGGTCAGCAATTGTTGCCGGTGATGAGTATTGGATGTAAGGGAACTATTGATGGTAGTGCTGGTTTCTTCCCCAAGAGTGTGGTTAGACTTTATGAATTGAGCGTTAAGGATAATGTTACGGCGGAAGAGAAGAAGGAGAGAGGGTTGTTGCAGTGGAAGTTGAGTGGTGTGGAGGAGATTGTCGTGAAGTATGGGACGGTGGGTATTAAAGAATGCGTATCTAGGATACTGGGAATGGGAGAGAAAGATGGAACGAGGTTACCTCTTATAGGGGGCATTCCTGGAGGAGATGCGGAGTGGGAGAAGTGGAGGGGAGTTATCGGGGAGTTGGAGGAGGTGGAAAAGAGTTTGTAGATTGGACGTGGTTGCTTGCATTACTTGCGATGCTATGGTTTACCTATAAGGAGGGAGCATAGTTTGCGTAGATACGAACGTATTTGAATAAATAAAAAATCCAATTATGTCAAATGTACGCAGAGTCATGATCTCCCTACTCGTCACCAAGCACTTTTTTCGCAATATGGGAATCAATCCATCCCTCATTATAAAGAAAACAATGGTGCTCAGATATTTCATTCCTGGAGAAAGTTTTCAAAGAAAATAATCTAAGACTCAAATCTAAACGCACAACTGCAAACCCAGAAAGTAAATCCTAACTTCGTCCTCCTCTGCGGAAATACTCATATCATCATGTCGTATTCCCAGTACAGTAGATTCTTCCTTCCAGAGAAATTATCTATGCCAGCAGGTAAAGTGAAAAGAGAGAGAGACAGAAAAGTAATGAGCAAGTAAGGAAAGAAGTTTTTACACGAATGAAAATCGATGCCACTCAGAGAGAGAGACTGAATCTGGCTTTGGGTTGTAGACAACTCTTTCTAGAGTAAAGACAGGTAGGTATCTGCGAGTAAAGAAATCGAAGGACTAAGCTGTTGCGGTCACGGTCGTGAAACTTGTAATTGTGGTAATGACAGTGGTGACTTTGATTCCAGAAGCAGGAGAAAGAGATGAAGCTTTAGTTTCTTTGTCGCAAGACTTGAGGTTTGATCCAACAGGAGGTTTACCAGAGGGTCCTGCGGGATCCGCTGTCGATGAACTAGATGCGTGGGTTGATGCTAGAGGTTTGACAGAAGGTCCTACGGGATCCGCTGTTGATACACTAGATGCTTGGGTTGAGGCTGGAGAATGGTTAGTTGGGGATGATAGCATTGAATTGCCCAAATTTGATACTGCTGGTGTTGATTTTGGCGATGTTGAAGACGCCGGTGAGTGAGTAGATAAAAATGCAGAAGAAGAAGAGAAGGAGGAGAAGGAAGAAGAGACAGGAGAGCCAGAACCAGAACCAGAAGGAGAAACAGAGGTATGAGAAGAAGAAGCCAGCACACTCTTTGAAGGGCAAACATACTCGCTATCGCGTTTTTGACGTCTCTCGCGTCTTTCTTCAGACTTGCGCTTCTTGGGTCCAGTATTGACTGGATATCTGAAGTATCTGATTAGCAAGAAGCTTTGGTAGATTACATACGTAAACTTAATTGAATATTGGTGCAATTATTGGAATTTGGACACTTCTTGTAAAGTGAAACTAAACCAGCGTCTCCACAAATTTGTTTATCGTTGCCAGAGCAAGGCATCGTACAGCCTCCCATAAGACCAGGAACCGGATCTCTACCAGCAAGCATTTTATTGTCGCAGAAGCACTGGGTAGAATATTCCAAACCGGCGATACTAAAACCTTTGCTGTTGCAGTAATCGATACATTTTTCAATCGTCATGCCTGTAATATCTTGAAGTGAATCTCCTTGGAGGGTTCGAGGTTGACCTGGTGTATCAAAGCCACATCCCATATATGCAAAACTCTTTGATTTCGTAACATCAGTATAAGGCCACATTGGTGTACCAATCGTGGTGGTAGCACCGCATCCGCTTTGTGGACTGGCATTTCCAGGACCGCTTTGGACTTCATTGCAACCAGGAAGCTTAGGCAAAACACCCGAAATTTGTTCATGAACTGATGGAGGAATTCGGCAACCATTTGCTACCTCGTTGGTTGTGAGTTTGAAGACGGGACATTTTTCTATGACTCCACTTTCATCGGTGCATTCATTGACGGCTTTTTGTAAAGTTGGTACATCCCAGCCATTGACAAAGTCACCGTGGAATCCATAGCCAGTTGGGTCTCCCATAGACCAGACGAATGGTTGCGAGCTACCATACCACTAGAGAGTTTATTGTTAGCATCGAAATCTCGTATATAAAAGGATGGCTTAGGGATCTTTCATTTGTGCTGCATCAAATGTCGGGGAATGAAAGTTCCCATTTTCACGCAGACATAAGACTAGATAGAATGTTGATTCACTTACTTTATCAGCAAAATCAGGAGTATTCCAGATAATCTCATAGAAAATAGAGACTAAACGCTTTGGATGAGTGGAAGGACAATGTCCACTATCAGAAAGACTAGGATAGGCCATGTGGGACTTATGATCAGGAGAATCCAAATTCTTCCCATCCCAGCATGATGGGAAAAAGATTTGTGTTCGGAGACCGTATGGGCATGGGTAGTTTGGGAATCCATTTGTTTGAGCCTTGTCAGTACCGAGACAGACATAAGTGACTGCTTGTTGCTCTAAAGAGCTTGCATTGTATGATCGGAGGTATGGATTTCCTGCAAGCATGCGGAAGCCTTCGGGGAAAGCCAGCAAGCCTTTGGAGTACTCGGGATCTAATGGATCGCTTCGCTGCCTAAAAGTCCAGGGTAAGCGATGATTCAAAGTAGGACGATGATTGAAAGGTAGACATACAAGTAGTAAACTGTAACACCACCATTTTGGCCGACAGAGATGAAACTGCCATTTTGAGATCTGTAATACAAAGTCGGAGTCCAATAATTGGAAAGATCCTGTATTTCGGTCAATTTAAGATATCCATCCATGATTTGTGAAAATTCACCTTCGTGACAGTACAGGAAGTGCAAGTTGATGCTTGGGTAGAAGCATAATTCATAGTGAAACCGAAGCCATTACCACTGTAGGTCAGGAAGGTCAGCATTATGTAGTAATATAGAATTTGTAAGAAAGAAGAAGAGTTGAGTCACACTGAACTTACCCCATGATGGTATGAACATGACCAGCGACACTGCCTGGAGAGACAACTGGGTCAGATCTCTCCACCACAATTGGATTCTGACATGGTAGACGCCAGAATGCTAGTGCAGGATTGACATTGATGGTGAGAAGGCATAAAGCCAACTGGAGCAAGGTGTTTGTTTGCATGCTGGATATTTCAACTGCAAGAGATGAATGTAATGGGTTGGTTTAAAGAGTGTGAGACCAGCTGCTAAGATCAAGGTGGTGATGAAGTTTTGAATGATTGAATCGAAAGGAAGTGTCACAGACACAGAGTTGTTGGAAAGGTCTGGATTGAAAAGTCCATGTAGACTCGAAGGTATGAAGGGTATTTAAAGAAATGTCATTAAAAAGTACAATCAGAAGCAAAACAATACTAATCTCTGTGAAACTAACCGAGCCAGTGACAGAAGGTATTGAGATATTAATCTTAGTGAAATAGATGAGTTGTTTGGTGAATGATGAAAGTCATTCCACCTCTTGCCGTATTGTCTAAAGGGTAGAATAATGCACTTGGCATCATATCTATTGGTGCTTATGTTTCTTAGATATTAAATTGTTCAGTGTGATCATGAAAAGGGGCCGATAAACAACTCCCGTCAATATCAAGCACCAACTCTGTTGGTTGAAGTGAAGTCGGAAAGTAGTCTTTCTCCATTGCAGCAAGGATATTTATTGGGGAAATTGTCCAAATATCAACAAAATAAATGAAGTCTTCGGGTGGCTCAAACTTCTAAACGGAAACATGTCAAATCCCTAGAGCTACCTAGGTATGTAGGTATGCATCGATCCTACTCTTGGTAGTAGATGTTCATTGATGATTTGACACTTTTCGAATCTTGGCAGGTAAAAATGCGTCCCGCTGCAACTATCCGACCTGTGCAACATTAGAGTAAACAGCTAACAATTATCACTTGATTTTGAATTTTTGAACTCATCAGATTGTCTCGGATATTTGGAGGGATGATAGGGGAATTCTCAATGGCCACCTAATATCTATCACAAAATAGTCCAAGGCCCAATATAAGATGAATATCTTCCGAAATTGATTACCGAATGGTCGGTATGTTCCAAGATTTAAATGATACGATTCCTTATTGATGATGCACGGGTCTCGCCTTCTTGAGATAGCTAAAGGGGCACAGGGAAAGATTTGAACGTTGGAAAGTCATTCATGGTCTGTCGTTGTACCTACAATGCTCTAGTGATACCTTGTGATATCTCCTCGTCTGGTACCTTCTTTACAGAAATCTCGTATTTTCACATTGATAAAAACAAGAATACGATATTTCAGTAGCTCGTTTCAATATCGTGTGCCCCGGGTCCCTGCTGCCGGTGATGGATGTCACATCATTTGACATCCGTGGGGACGGTAGAATGCCACTTACACTGCGTATTCAAGATCTTGCATAGGACATATGCTGTGCAATTCTGTACGAGATCAAAATGTGTTCAGACTTATTTCTAGTTCAAATGTTGAAGAGGTGTGATGTGGCGTTAACATTGTGACGGTATTGTAAGATGTTGTACAGTGACGGCGACGTCGAGGCCCGTGACGGAGAATTTATGCTGTGGAAGCATTTCAAACCCGCTGCTGTACAATATAAATATCTTTATACATGATTCGTGTTCCATGACCTGGCAGATCTCTGTAATTATGCGAAGTTACAAGCTCATCGCCAGGTTAATGATTCATGATTTACACAACATGATGGGGTTGGAGGCTGATTTCCTCAATAAAAAGGCCAAGTCTGGGGAAATGATCAAGGACTTTAACCGCGGTGGGGAATCAGCCACTCAGTACTACCTCAGCCGATCTAGTGTTGTTCTGTGTTCTTTTTGACATCCAAACTTCGGACCGAATTGCATACAAAGAAGCTCTCCCAATAGATTCGTTACCAGTCATCTAACACCTTCAATGCTGCTTCTCAATCAAAAGATCAATAGGATGCGATATGCAATATGCCATATACTTTTTGAAGACGTGGCAACTCAATATGATCCTCGTTGAATATTTACCTATTCCTAACATCTGGACTTTCTTGTGTCGTTCATTCGTAGCTCAATACTATCCGAGTGTAACTCTATGGATTTCATCTGTATCTTATGCCGTTCAAATGCAACTACGTATTATCTGGCTCCTGTCACACCTGTCGTCTGATACGCAGCTGCTGCAGAAAATCCATCAATCTATCTTCAGCATTGATGCTTTCCGTTTCTGTTTCTGATATGTGAATCCGAGATCTATGACTGAACATACATTTCAGCCAATTGGAGACAAGTAACCGAAGCATAAACTCATTCCTCAACCTGATTTCAACAGTACCCGGCTCAAAAGCCACCTACCTATTTAGTGACGGAAGCCAGAAAGGGGATTGTTGTCACTTTTTTCCATAATCCTTAAGTCATGCTGTTGACCGAAAGAAGCAAGTTATTACCCCATCGGACATCCCAGAAACCCAACAATGGAAATTGTTCTCATTGGTAGAGGATACCCCAGATTTTCCCCAGGTTTCAAAAATAACTGGAAGCTTACAGCCGAGAAGAAACACATCTCACCTCATGGATATCTCACTGCTTTGCCGAGGAATATCTACGCTTTCGTCAGCCATGGATTGATCAAAAGGGCCGAATGTGAAACAAAAGATTGAAACTATTGATAGCACGAACCCAGATCATGTCTTTTATTGTCTCTTATTTCATCCTCCAATCATTGCTATCCTCAATCTTTCTTTGCGCTCGATCAGATACAGAACACACACCAGGCCCCAACTCCAATCAAGACTACGAGTTGTATTTCAAAGAAACGAGTTTGAAACGACGTGATCGAAATTACTTGGAGATATAACCTTATGTACTATGATGCACATCTGTGATGTGAAAGAAACTTCGAAGTCAAACACTGCTCCCTCGCTTACCTACATAGTGTGTCCAACACTTACCTCAGAATCCGAGCAGGAATCTGAGAACTTAAACAACGATCTAAGGTATCAAGGTGCTCCTGCATCCTGCATTAAAACTCACCAAAAGGAAGGAAAGAAAAAAAGAAAGAAACAACGCCCCTGAGAAATTTCCTCACTCACCAAGCACTTGATCTCCGGCACCCAAACTCAACAAATCCTCTTAACTTCAAGCCTACCATTTCTTCCCTCTCCCTCTCTCCCTCTCCTCTCTCTCCTACCATCCTTATCCCACAATCTGATTCTTATGTACATTACACATCATATCACCCTTCACATCACCCTCCACATCACCCTCCACATCCACATTCAACTTCCAACTTCCAAACAACCCTTCACCATATTCTTCCTCCCTTCCTCCACCACTCCCTCATTCCCTCCCTCCTTCCTTCCCCCATTCCCCCCAGCCCTCCCCTCCGCTCTACCTCCCTTCCATCCCCCCTAACAAATTCAACCCCATCACAAGAACACAATACCCTACAATACATATACTCATATTATCTCCACTACACATAACATACACCACACCACCCATCCTCTATTCCATCTCTATTCCCATCTCTATTCCCATCTCTATTCCCATCTCTATTCCCATCTCTATTCCCATCTCTATTCCCATCTCTATTCCCATCTCTATTCCCATCTCTATTCCCATCTCTATTCCCATCTCTATTCCCATCTCTATTCCCATCTCTATTCCCATCTCTATTCCCATCTCTATTCCCATCTCTATTCCCATCTCTATTCCCATCTCTATTCCCATCTCTATTCCCATCTCTATTCCCATTTCCATCCTCCATCTCCACCCCCTCCTCCCTCCACCCCCCGGAGAGCAACCGAGAACCCAACACCCAATACCTACCTACCTACCCACCCAGAAATATCCAAACTAAAGAGCTCAAGATCCAGTCGAAAAAGATAGGATAGAAAAGAAAAATGAATGAATAAACAAATAAATAAATAAATGAATACAAACAAATATCTGGTGACACCATCTGGACTGTAAAGTAACTACAGTACACAGTACACTCACTCGCTACCCACTAGGTAGACAACATACAACATATTGACCATCACCCTTCATAGTCAACAACAAGTTCCATTCAGAATGCAAGAAATAATAAGCGATACTGCACAAAAAACAAGACATCTGTACCTAGAAAGACGGTAAAAATCAAAATGATAATCATTCACCTTCTCCATGATACGGAATTACTGGTCTTTTTTAATCTTTTTGCATTTCGATTTAGATGTGATATATCCATTTCCCATTCCCATTTCCCTACCTAAACTCCTGGTGTGTGTGAATATATAAATACCTATATTCTTCAATTCTCTTCTCCTTCCCTCTTTCCTTCTTCCTCTCTTCCCATTTCGCTTTTGCCGCCTCGAGCTCTACCTGCATGTGACGAAATTTCTCCCAACCTTTACAGCAAGTATTTAATCCTCATTGTACTTTCCACTATCCAACATACCCTTCGCACCTCTCCCACTCCTCCGTCCCCAAACCCTCAATCCCCACTCTGTAATCGTGAATCCCCAATGGCCCGCCACCAACACACCACTCACAACATTGACAACCTTAACTACAAATCTCAAGAATCCATCTCTACTTTCCTCTACTGTCAAAAGAAGCGGCTCAATATCATATTTGAAGAATATACCCGGTACGCTGCGTTCGCCTACAATATGTTCTTGTGATGTAACAGCGTATTGATTTGTGCGTAGAAGGGTGGGAGATGACGAGGGAGAAAATGTCGATGCCGAGAGGGAGTAAAGAGTTGGGACTATGGAGAGGAAGTATTGGTATTTGTGGAAATGGTTGGGCGTGCCGGCGATGGTGCGGTCGAGAGGGTTGAGAAGGGAGGGGTAGAAGGGACCGAATGATAACTCGTTGATTATGTGGGAGAAATTGAATGCTATATTGCGTCAGTAGTCATCCAAAATACTCACAAGCAGAAAAGTAAAAGGAATACAAACCACTATGATCCAAATGTTTTCCCATCTCCGGATATCCATGACCCCTTGCAGTGATATGAAAGTCTCCCTGCACCTTATTCACCTCCAAACTTCCATAAACCCTACAACTGTCACCCCCCTTAGGACCACCCTTGACTCTTGGGGTCTTCGCGAACTTCGCCCTCTTCTTCCCTCCTAACACCACAATATCATGAACATGTTCCTCTCCAAATCCCTCCTCATGATATTCCTCTCCGGTAATCACTCTTCCATGTGCATCTTTACCCAATTGATGTATACCCTTTGCATCCACCCATTGTTTCCAATTCGTCGCATCCTCTTTGAGCATTATTCCAGCTAATATACGATCACCAGCCGCATCTTGTACGTTAATATGGATCTCCGAACATTTCATTTTGATAACCATATCCATGTTTATCTGTAGGGAATGTCCAACACCCTTCTCAACTACGAAGGTGTGGGTTTCGTGGCCAGTCCACCAACGCATGAATTCGGATACGAGGAGAGCGAAGGACACGAGCATCATGGCGACGGTCCATTTGCCGCCCCCAGAAGTTTGTGTTATGTATTGTGGTTTCGCTTTGGCTTTTGAGTGGGAGTCGAGTTAGCTAGTGATCTTCCAAGTTGATGGTATGCTTCGAAATTAACGGGCAATTAGATGCGATTGCAGCCCAATATATGATCGCAAGCAAGAAGGTACAAAAGCAAGAGAATAAAACATACGAAAAGCATCAAAAGCCTTCACAATCCCCCCCTTCTCCCCAAACGACCCCTCATCCAACCCATGATCTGAAAATCCATTCATTTTACCAGAGACTCGTTTTGTTCGTCCTGCTCGTTTGGAATTCTCTTACTTTCCTTTGCGCATACAATTCTCCAAATCAATCTCTCCCTCCTTTGCAATATTCACATGTGCAATCCTCTGGATCCGCTCAATTCGATTGATTCCCCAATGAAAAGTCTCCTTGAAGAACGAGAAACAAGCACGAAAATGAGGCTAAGAATAAGAAGTGAACCAAACCTCAAGAACCAACACAATCCATCGAAAACTTCACGCTTGAAATTCAAGAAAACAACAGAAGTCTCGAAATTTGGAGATATTGAGTTCAGTGCTTTGAAGATGTGCTCAGGCCTAGAATGAGCAGTTGAAAGCTGTCCTTGAAGTGGTCCGAAGATACACCGATGGAATATGATTGGCCAATCTAGATTGATAGTGCAAGGCTGACGAATTCATCGGTAAGGGTTCAGGGTTGGAGTTTTGTGGGCTCGTGCAGCGAGTTTTATGTGGTGTCAGTGAAAAGTGCATGAACATGAGGTGGGTGCGGTGTCTTGTAGTCGATTAGTATGCGGCAATATGGGAATGATTGTAAGAATTGATAAATGGATGAATTGGCGAATAAGCTACATAAAGAGGGAGATAGAGAGAAGTCGAGAAGGGTTTCGTTGAATGTATGATTGATAACATATCCGATTGAATCTAGGCTCAGATAATGAGAAGTAGCGTGAGGTATCTGGATCAAACCTTAGGTGACTTGATGTAAAGCTACGGGTAGAATCTGCAAGATCGTCAGATCTGCAACCTCAAGACCGTCCGCTCAATCCTAAAAAAAAATTGGTATAATTCTGACCACTCCAAACAAGCAAGCACACATGTATAATTGGTTGATTACTAAAAGACATTCGTTTATTTTGCATTTCATTACATTGACTTCCTTCCTCCCTCCTTCATGAATTCCACTCCCAACCACTGGAAGCACAACCATGCTTTATTAAGAACCAGTCCTCAACCATCTTCCCAGCTTCTCTCTTCTCCCGTTCTTCTCCCGTTCTTCCCAAACTATGCAATAATCATAGCCCCTCCCCCAAACCCCAACCCATCCCGTCGTCATAATATTAAAATACTTATGTAAAAAACCCCAAGCTTTTTGCATAACACGATATGTGAGTCGTCCATCCCATTGTGCATTAAAGACCCCAATTCATTCGTAGAAAGAGTAGAAAAGAAACGCGCGCAAATAGAGAAAAAAGAAATTACGAAAAATGATGCCCCAAACAAATATACAACATACAAGATTCCGTCCCATCCCATTCATGGTCCTGTGGAACGCATCATTCGTTGAATCTATTCAATCGCTTTCAAACCCCCACCCCTCCATCATACCTCATGACCCGAAAGACTCGCGAAGTCAAATCCATTTGAAAATTTCAACTACTTCCGCGCGTTCATGCAGGCCCTTAACTAGTAGCAGTCTTGGATCCCTTGACCGCTAGCCCAACACCCAGACCGACTCCCAACGCAATGGCCAGGATAATAATGAGCGTAACCAACAAGCACCACCACTTGAGTCTGTTTCTACGACGGGCATGTTCATTCGCCTTGTCAATTTGAACATTTGCTTTGTCGACATCTTCAGCGGTTTTGATGGCGTTTTGTTCGGTATGTTCGACAACTGGATCTTGAGCTTCAACTATTTGGGCCATATCGGCGAACATGGCTGCAAGATCGGTGAGAGTAGCTTCAATACGTTGGAGTTCGTTGTGACGAGCACGAACGGCTCCGAGAACTGAAGATGCTTGTCCAGATCGATTGGATTTGAGCTGAATAGTTTGTTAGTATGGTTTTAGAGGTGTAAAATTAAATTTTGAGAGTATAAAATGGCATGGGGACCCAAAATCGAAGTAGGATAAAACATACAGCAGTTTGGAAAACACCTTCCGAACCCCAATCCATCTGACTAGCTTCCTCGACCTCGGCCTCCGTGGCTTCAGGGTTAACGATTCGATATTGTCTTCCAATTTGGCGTCTATATTCGTTTCTATAATTCAACTCTTCTTCCCTATACTGCTGCAACTGATTTTCAAATTCCGTCTTCAACTTCTTAGCTTGCGTACTCTTGATATTCTTGGTCCCATCTTGAGTCTTGATCGCATCACCTTCCAAATATTTGATTTGATCACGAATTTGAGTGTTTTTGAGCTGGGTTTGTGTTACGAGATTTTCGAGGGAGGCGGTGGAGGAAGAGTCGGGGGAAGAGAGGGCGCGTTGGTGAAGAGTTGCAATTTGGGAGATATTGGAGGACAGAGAACGAATTTCGGATTTGGCAAAGTCAACACGATCGAGGAAAGCTTGTTGGGTAAGGACGTTGTTACTTGGAGGTGGAATGGCGCCGGGTGTACCGGAGGAATAGTTGGATGCTTGGGAGTAGTTTGACATCTCGTGCGAGAGCCCTGGCTGGCCTGCATTGTTCTGTCATGGCGTTAGTATATCTATATTAATTTTGCGCAAGTATGTGATAATGATAACGAAGAGACAATGAGTATGAAATTGAAGTTTGCTTACACCTCCATAACCGGCTTCAGCAGCACCCGAATTTTGATATGGATTTCCACCAATACCTTGATACTGTTGAGTGTACGACATATTGACTGAATCAATTGATGCAAAATATCAATACTGTAATTTCGATTGTTTGCGATCAAAATGATAAGAAACGATTTCAGTAGACGGTGTGTGGTTATCGGAAGGAAGGAAGAAGGAATGGATTTGTTGTTGTTGTTGTTGTTGTAGTTAAGAGAAAGGTTAAAAAGGCCCGGGGTCGAAAAATCGAATGACGTTAGGTGGAAATATGGATGGATGGCCTTGTTAGTTCTATGTAAGAAGAAAAAGCCGGGGAAAGCGAAATTAAATTAAAATCAAATCTTTATTTTGATCTCCAAGAAAATTTGAAGAAGAGAAGATTTCTTTTCAAATTATAATCTCAGATAATTGTAGGTTTGTATATTATATTGGAAAATGGATGTGAGGTGAATGGAAATGGAAATGGAATTCTTTCCCTCCAGTATTGAATGGATGTTGTAAGGTTATGAGGGAGATTGAAATCAATCAAAAGCAAAGTGTGAGATTGGGTGTGACTGTATGAGAGTGATTTATGAGTTGAGTAATTAGTAAGATATCGGTAGTCCTATTGGATATCAAAACAACAACCAACTTCTACTCATCGATGGCGGGCTTAATAATGAGTATCAAGAGATCTCATGAAAAGTGGTGGAACGATTGATTGGTATCTTTTTTTCTTTATTATGTAGCTCATACCATTGCCGCAGTTGGCTTCAGAGATGGGATGAGGGGATGTCGCTTTCACGCTTTCATTGTTTAAGCGAACGTTTGAAGGCTGTGCTGTGTATGTGTATGTATGTCTGGTCTGTATGTACCTAGGTATATATGCATGTACATGAACGGAGTAAGTGATGTGTCAATGGGTCAATCAGGTCAAGCAGGTCAATCAGGTCAACCAATATTGTATGCAGAATTGAATATACGCTGCTTCTTCTTGCCTTCCTATCTTGATGTTCTTATAATAGAAGAATGCTATCATCAATACCGAATACTACTAGACAGATACACTTAGCAAAATATCCATACCTACCTACCATACAAATTGATACAATTACAAATGCCGATGCACCAATCTATCGCCTTCATCTGAGACCGAACATCGACTTGCATTTGTACGCGTATTCATGATTGCTGCGCATTCCACTTTCTCGCCATATTGATGCCTATCCTGCTGAGCCTCACTGTCTCAACTGTATCGTATAACAAGCCTTTTACTTACATACATAATATGTCCATCATCTCCTGATTCGCATTCACGCCACCAATAGTAGGGTTTGCACGGAACTATTTGCCATCTCGTATAATCATCATTTTTGAGATATAAATTTCTGCTTGCCGTCAATATGAGACGAGTCGCGGAACCCGAGTTTCGCTGATGGGGATTTCTTGAGGTGTCTCGAAAGTGCTTAAAGAGGTGGGGTTCGTCCCCCTCGGAGAGATCAGAGTTCGTGCACTTCTTCCTGCGTATTTTTGGTAGAAATTTTTCGCTCTCCTGTTGCTCTACTGTTGCTCTACAGCTTGCCTCGCTCTCTAAGTTGGAAGCAGCAGGTTGTTGGAAGTACCTACTAATTACCTATGATTTATGGTGCTTTTGTTGCTGAATGGTACATCCCAGTGTTATCTTTTCCCGATGATACTCCGGCTTCGTCAGCCAATGAGTAGTCTTGTTCGACAATATCACGTGATAGTTTCTTTTCCTGATTTGTTGCATATCTCAAGAGTGTCGTTCACAGTTCTTGGGGTTCGTCCATCAGTGAGTGGGTTGATTGAGTGCACTAGGTGCATGGATTGACTGCAGGTGGCTCTTCGTAGGAGAAAATCTGGCCGGAATTGACCACTGGCAAAGCCCTTCAATAATCCAATTGTTTCATTCCAATTCAAGGAATTAAATATTTTAAATACTTTTATGATTGAAGATCATTCAAACATTTACTCAACGTTATTAATTATTATAATTTCATTATCAGTTGATTTATTATAGAATTTATTAGAGTGATTAATTTTGGTCTCTTTTTTCTCCCAAGTAGAGACGGACACTTCTCAACTATCGAAATTTATAACAAATTCATTCTTCGATTGTTTGATATCAAAGGTTATAATTTAATTGTCTCATCTCAAATGAACAATTGTAACAATTCCCTAAGAGATACCCCCACTTTTTTTCGTAGTGTCCTGTCAGTTCATGCACCCAATCCAATATCTAAAAGGTTACATTTACAATTTTGAATCCATCTCTTAATAATCTAAAACCACCCCAACGTCTTGAACACCACTTCTCCTCTTCTCGTTCCTTCTGGCACTATTCTTTTGTAGCTCCTTAAGACCTAAGTATCGAACACTCATAGTGTCGCGAACCCAGTATTGGACAGTTTCCGTCATCATTACATCTTCAAATTCACTTGCCATTATGCAGTTGATCAGCTCATCCGCAAATCCCCAGTGCTTCATTTGCCGAATACACGCCTCCCGGCCATCTGACATGTGAAACTCCGGAACGTATTCTTCAAGCACAAAGTCTAGAAACTCCGTCATATATATGAGCTCTCGCCATCTTCTCCAAATCTCTTCAGCTTTTTGTTGTCCCCATCCGATATATATCAGTGTCTCCGGAGACACAAGCAGATCTGGAACTATGTACCAATCTTTTGACTCGCTCGAGCTTGAAAAATACCCCTCAAACATTAGGCGAGATGACACTTCACTTCTTCTTCCATCCGCTGGCTTCAGGTGGCCCGTTCTTGCCAGAATTTCGGCATCAGCAGGGTGAAATATTGGGGAGTCAGCACCATCATCTGTGTTAAGAGATGTCGCAGCCATCTTGTTAGATATATCGACGTTGTTTTTACCGAAAACTGAGATGAAAGTTTCGTTAGAATCGAAGAATGGGGATGTAATTGTGATGGAATTCTGATATATAATGCCAAATTTATATATTTGGAAGGAAAAGAAGATAGTTTGATTTAATAACTGTAGTGATATTGGAATGGGATTCTGAAATGGATTTTCGAGTTTATATATCTGGAAGGTAATGGGAAACAGACTAATCGAACTGTGACTAATGAGTTGTATTGACCTGAAAGTGTAGTACAAGAGAAGGTCTCTTTATAGGTATCTGCTAATTCCGACGGAAAGTGCTCGCTTTCATCTTCACCTTCCTTTTACATTGCAAGCTCGAGGTTTGACGTGGGGCTTGGGTATATCATGCGTTTTGTTGATTAGATTCACCGTAGAATAGAGGAGTCCAGACAGCGATCATCACAAGTCTAGGTATGATTCACATCGTAGATGATTGATCTAGACCGATTTGCTTTCATCAAAAGAGGAATATGATGAGCGGGAGAACTGAACTAAGTATGATTCATAATGAACAATCCCGTTAGTTAGGCTCAGGTAGGTTCATATACTTCCATCAACGGAAGTTATGACGCGCGGGGTAACTGATTTATTATTGATAAATATGCTTGGGGTGGGAACTTTGATCTAGACTTGGACTAAAATCTGGAAATCTGCATCTAATTGGATCTAATTGGATGGATCTGCATAACTAAAGTTAACTTGACAGACAACGTTGGAAACCCTTTTTAGTCTTGAAATTAAGCATGAAACTTTACCTTTCGTTCTCTTGATGTTTCTATTCCTATATAGGTACCTAGTAGTCTCGTTCAAGAATGCCACGTGATTGTTGTTTTGAACCTAGTCTGTTGCACATCTCAAAAGTGTCGTTCATAGTTCTTGGGGTTCGTAGATTTGGACACCTCTCAAAGAGTGAATAAGATAAGTTTTACCAATTGGATCTCTCGGATTTACTACCTCTAATAACTTATCAGATTTCTGCCTGTAGTATGTATGTAAAAGAAATCTTCAAGTTAGATGTGAAATGCCTGGAAAATCTTCTCGGGGGCGCTTTCTCAATACCTTTTCTAGCTTGGTATTCTGTGTAAATTATCTACCTACTCATCGAGTACTTTGATATTCTTTATATGTTGTTACGCCGCTGAGATGCGTCGGCTCAAGTATTGTTTTGTTCAAATACCTACATGCAGTTTCTTTGGTCCTACCTATTCTTCAGATGAAACTCGATTGATAAACTAGCCTGGTCGAGTCGACGTCAGCGTTTAAATCACCAATGGTCTATCTGAGCAGCAATACTTTCTGCTTTCTATGGAAAAATGAGTAGCTATTTTCATCGAAGTTCAGTCAGCAAGACTAAAGACAGTAATGGAGGAAGGAACAATATTTGCGAGTATATTACACCCACTTGCCTTCTCATACTTCGACATTCTCATCAACTTACTTAGATCCTGTCTCCACCATCTTGAAGATTACTGCTCTGCGATATCAATAGACTTCGTTACCAATCGCAAAGAAGAAATCCTGTCTGTGCATTTAGATCACAATCGCAACCTGGGCAAGGTGAAATCTGGTATTATGTGAGTAGTAAATTCACAAATACATCTATATTTAGAGTATTAACTATATTGTTCTTACAGAGAAAGCTTAACCGCACGTTGAATAACCAAAAATCATGTCAAATCCATCAGTATATGAGTACTACTTACCTTCAAAGAAGTACTGTCGATTCTGGCTGGTCCTGATGAGTCGCTGACACAATGCGAAATGAAGACCATGTCTCTGGTGGACAAGTATATGGAAGATTATACTGCTTTATCCTACTGTTGGGGTAGCTCTCCGGAACAATCAGTAATATGGATTGATAATATTAGAGTCAGTGTCGGCATTAATCTTGCCAATGCTCTTATCAGGTTCCGAAGCATGGGAATTGGACTGGTGTTGTATAAAACAGAGTGACAACCAGGAGAAAATGTTCAGGTCCGACTTATGACACAGATCTACTCAAAAGCGAAAGTAGTCTACACATGGCTCGGATTGGATTAAAGTGGATTGTCAGCATTTGCCATGAATTCTTTGAAGAACTTAGCATTATCAAATCTTCATCGCATCGACTCACTATTGGGTCGAATATCACGTTCGAGATTATTCACATCCCTCAACTGCGACGTATGTTATCGTTGCAGCATTCCAGGATGTAAAGAGCTTACAGCCTCGCTCAAAGACTTTTTCAATTGGGAAAACTAGGTAAGGATGTGGATCATCCAGGAAATTGCTATGGCATCCGGCGTTATCTTCCTATACGGCGATGCTACATCTATAACATATGAACAACTAGCTGTAGCCATTAGGTTCCTGAGCAATGAACTAAAATGTTGGGATTGAGAAGTGGCACGGGCAGCTTCGAACTACCGACGCGTGGCTTGTATTCGCAACACTTATCAAAGTGGCAGTTTAGATCTTCGTCGAGCAATGGCACTGGCTAAGGGGTCGGTATGTAAGTGGCCACAAGATCGAGTCTATGCCCTCGCTGGCTTTTCTAGCGATGGTTCAATATTAGTTCCAATAACTGACTACGAAAAAACATTGGAAGAAATTTCATGCGATTTTAACGATGGATTTTGCTCAAAGGGAAGGCTCTCTCGACGTTATATTAATTCGGTCTGATACATTCAGATCTCAAGAGTTACTCTAACCTTCTTGGACCCTTAACTGGATATCCTCATCATGCTGGGAACGCCACATCCACGTTTGAGAAAGGGTAGAGAAGATTAAGCGCATAGCGAATGTCGATTTTGGACATGAAATTCGGAGTTTGCACACTCGAAGCTACAATGGAAGATGGTTGAATCTCATGGGAACACAATTGGGTACTGCTCAAATATAATGCATGGACGACAAACCCACAATTGAGTCTGACTTCAACCCACGCTTTTCAACAGCCTGATCATTTGCGGGCCAAAGAAACAAACTAAAGCACAGCTCAGATATTGAATTCGCTGTCTATATGTTTTCTTCAAGAAGATTTCAAAAGTAAAGATTAAATCATCTCGGGACTTCTTTGGTATGCATTTTATTGCGTTCTGTTTAGAAAGGTTCCCAGGGGGATACTACCATCCCGAAATATCAAATATCGGTCAAAGCATGCCTCAAAGCCATTCCTACGGAAAGACCTTGCATCATGGGTCCTCTGTAGCAAAAAAGAGATTTGGAAAAAAACAGCACTTCGGTTGGTATTTTCGACACCGTAAACTCACATATTTTTTGATCATCCTTATGGGAGTTCCGCCCATTGTTCTTTTTTTTTGGTTCCACGCTACAGTCAGGATTCTGTAGTTTCCTTTATCGAAATAATATGGGTTTTCGTACTATCCTTGGCGCTGATTCTTGCATTGCTGGGTGTAGGACACGCCGTGAAAGTGTGGTACGCTGGTAATTTTTTAGTTGCAACGACTATAAGGCCGAGATTCTTTGAAAGTTTTGCCACAAAATGAACTTGGTGAATTCATATGCACCTTAGGATGAGATATTGAAAATTACTGTTTGTAAGAATGGACTTCTATTCATGACCGCTGAAGGCACTATGGAGGGAGATGCCATTTTTTATCTGGCTGGCTGGAAGCATCAAGTTGTGTTGAGGAAGGAGAAGGAATTAGGGAAGTGGAGAGTTATTGGTAGGGCATTCGTACCAGTTCAGGACATTGAACGGGTCATTCAGCAGAAGAATGGAAAGAATTACTCCGGACCGGAAAGCTCAGGGTGATAGAGGAAAATTTTGTGTGATTCGATTTGAACAGAATCTCAGTGAGATGAGGACGACGGTATATCATTCAATCCAGAATGTTCGAAAGTCCGGACTGTGACCCAACACTCAGAGTCTCTCATTTTCTGAATGTAACTTAAGCCCCAAGACGATTCTCAATATCTGATCCTAACTAGACCATTGAAAACATCTATCTACATGCTATTATTAGTCTTTTACCAATGGAATCCAAGACAAGTCATCAGCGGAGAGGTTGAGATTGAAGACTATGCAATAGGTTCGACAGGCCGTGATGAAAGCTTATCATACGAAGCCGTTACAAGCACGAAGATATGATGCTGTTTTGCGAGCAGCATGCAGTCAAGTAAAAGGTGTATCGATCCAAGTACCAGAATGCTAGTAAGACCAGGCAAGATACTCGAGCCGAGTAGAAAAAGGATTCGAGGGGACAAAAGTCAAGACTGTATAGAAATCGGAGAGCAAACTGACAAAAAAAGATGTAAAGAAGAAAAGACTTGCGGACCTAACGTTGAAAGCTCAAGACGCTGCTAAAAGAGAACTAAATATCGAGAGAGAATGACGGATACTGTCCAAAAAGCAGCTCAACAAGCAAAGAATAGAGAAGTTGTGAAGAAACGCAAGCGCAAATGAGTTGCGCAAAGAGAGCAATACTGGCACGCAATATACAAGATCCTCTAGAAGTAGCTTGGAATAAATCCATAAGAACGTACTAATATCAAGAAGAAAAAGCGAAAAGCATGAGAAGTTCTTGTTCTCGCAACTAGAGATACTGCCCATAAAGAAGGTCAGAAGACTGTCGAAAAGAAAGTCAAAGATGCTGAAGAATAAAGGGGTTCAATCACTCATGTAGTATTCGCTCACTTTAACTTCACAACCATCTGCATTGAGCAAATCCTACTAGGTATTTTCCATCAGCTCGGCTACAACAACCCAAGAAAAGTTAGCAATACATAAAACCGACACAGCTGGAAAGCAATACTCGGAAATCGCGAATTCCCCGAACCTGAACTCCGTTCCTCACATGCAATAGATACCGTGTGTCATAAAAACTAAATTCAGCCGCTAAATATCTTCAAGCAACCGATCCTTCCACGCCCTTCATTCCGGACTCCGGAATCCGGGGCTGAAAATCCTACATCGTATCGGATTGCTTGTATGTACACCCCTTTATATTAACTTTTGAAGAATCCTACCCGCCCATCGTCTAAGATCATCTCCAGGTGTTAGAGTAGATAATAGCAATGAATCAACTAGATGTAATGTAGCACAAAGACTTTTCATTAATTCTTCTAAACTATAAAAATTCTATAATTTATAATTGTATGCGGGTTAGCGTTGGCCCGAAGTAATCCCACAGGAACTATTTATATATTCTTGTTAGTCCTTATACAGATTGACTGTAACAGAGCCCTCTATATTGCACGTTGCATCCCGAAATATGTATATTTATTTCCCGAACTCGGTTTGTGTAATACAAGAAAATGAAATGCTAAATGATTGTGTCTGTGCTGTATACCAAAAGGAAGTAAGAATACTATAAAGCTATAAACAATCAATAAACAATATTCTAATATATTTATTGCTTTTATTAGCAAATCACTAGGGGCTTTATAAGTTCTTTTTAATTTTCTAAATTTGTTTTCCTTTTTAGTAGATTATTCTTTATTATTTTTTTATTAGTTTTTGTTTTATTATGGCTGTCTCTCAATCTATCGGTCCTTAGGCAATTGCAGCTCAGTTTGCAATAAGTTCTGTTGATTTGATTATCCCTATATGTCTTCATTATTTCAAATATATTATATCCTTTGCCCCCAAAGATTTCTATTACTATAACAAGGGTTCTTATGCTAAGTATAATTACTATCGTGCCCAAAAAAAGGTTTATCAATCGGTGCTTTCCCGATATATTCCCGATATCAACTTGTTATATCAAACCCAAGCTTTTTGGTAGGTTACTCCTGTTGGTAATTAAAAGGAAAAGAATGCCGAGATTGTAATAATATATCGAAATGAGTGTTATGTTAGAAATGTAAAGGTTTTTTTGTAAAAAAAGGATAAATAGGGTAATATTAAAAAGCTAGAGTTATTCGAGGTATTATTTTTGCTTGTTATAAAGAAGTTGGATCGAATAGGTAATTTCATAAAGTACCTTATAGATTTTTATCAAACTATTATTGGTTATTTTTTGTTTCTTTATAATAGTGTTTAACTGATTTCTTTGGATTTTAGAATAATTTGTCTACACTGGATGCCGCTGTTCTAGGTTTTATTATGAGATTGGTAGTTGCAGTAGATTTGGATGATGAGGGTAACTTTATGACTCTGGTTGTTTATTTCTGTGTTGTCAATATCTCTGCTCTACTTTCTACTCCCCCAGAAGGTAAAGTTTTGGATACCATAAATATGCTAGCTGGTTTGGAGGACTGTATTTTTTTTTGTATTAATATTTAATTATTATTTTGCCTTTGTTCCTGTACTTGTTTTTCTATGTTTAAGAAGGATTACTTTAGATATCCTGATAAATTCTTTTTTGATTTTAATGGTAATAAAAAGAATAATTCTTTTTTTTATTAGGTTATTAGTATTCTTTAATATTCTGATATTCCCCATATTTCTAAAAGTAATATCAGTATTACTACCCCTCAGGTGAAGAAGTGTGTTACCAAAGATTCGATAGTTTCTGTTTATTGATTTATTACTAGAAACTCGATTACTTAAGCTATTCTTTTTTTTTATAAAGTTTTTTATATAGTTTCGAAATAAAAAGTAGTATTAGTTATTACTGATTCTCTTTTTGATTTTCGATATCAGGATATTAATGCTTTGCTAAAGATTAAAGCTTTTTGTATAAGTCGTTCTGTTTACACTGAAAAATCTAATATTATTGTGAGTTCTTCTGAAAGTGTTTGATTCTATAAACATTTACAGATTGTTGATAATTTGTTAATAGAGATTTGAAAGTCTAGCAAAGCCCTTATAAAAATAAAAAAAAAGGAAAATATAAATAAAAATAAAGTGAATATATTTTTGGTGGATAAGAATAAGTGAAGTGATAATGATATAAATAATATTATCTTTAGGATTCTCCTTTTTACACTGGATTTTTTTGATGTATAAAATAAAAAGATTAATTCTTGTTATAGAATTCTTTCAACACGCTAATGTAGTAATACCTTTACAATGGTGTCCTTATATTAATCAAAAATGTATTTTTGTTAAGAATAAAACTTTATAAAAAAAATAACAATAATCTTATTAGTTGAGTATCGACAAAGATTCAGATAATATTGATTCTAATACTTATAAATTAAAGCCTAAAGTATTTTAGAGATGTTAAAATAAGTTAATATGCTTGATAATAATATATAATATACTAGCGAATAAAAAATTACATTCTTATTCTTATCAGAATAAAAAAAAGTAAAAAGAAGAACATTGTAAACAGTTTTATATTATTAATGGTTTGCTTATAAATATACAGCAAAACCCTATTGTCTTGTAGCTTTTTTTCTTTTTTCTTTTAAACTATATATTAATAATTCTCTTTTTTTATTGTATTTTTTTAATACTTTTTTTATATTATTAAGATTGTGAGGGGCTTTCTATATATCTTTTATTGATTAATAGTTTTTCTATTAAATTAAATATTAAATATTTCTGTTTCTCTTTTTATATACTATAATCTTCTTTACTTTATATTTCAAGTAATTGTTTATTTTCTTTGATGGTAATAGATTAGCAGTATTCTATTGTTCATATTATAGTTTTAGTAGAGAAATATGAAAAATATTATAAATCTTATAGATAGGTAGTAGTTTGAGTTTATATACTTAACCACTGGTTTTTATATTTATTATTTGAAAAGAGTTTATGAATCTATTCAAAAACTTCTTTTTGGATTGAAGTTGCTTGATATTTCGAATGTTTAGTATTACTTTATCTCCAATATTATATCACTGGATTATTGTGCTATCTGTATTCTTTGACTTTCGGTTTATAACTACTTACCACAGTTTTTTCAATTTTTCCTTTTTTTTATTAAGGGAGGCAATTTGTTTGTATACTATTAATACCCTTTTTGTGATATTGGTGTTTTTGCTAATATAGTAAAATATTAATAGGAATTTGTATATCGCTTGGAATGGGCTTGTATTTATTATACTATACCATGTAGCATTATAAATAAACTCTGTAAGTAATAATAGTAAAAATCAATCATTTTATCAATAATTAAAATAATAATTGATATAATAAATCAGATTCTAATTCTATCGCTCCATTTGTTTATCAGTTTGAGAATGGAATATAGTAGATAACTTATATTGTATTTACAAATAAAAAAGAAAACTATTTCAAAACTTGCTTGCAAACTATAATCCCCTATCTGATATAATACTTTTTGGTATCTCAAAGTTTTTAAATATACTTTATATTAATATTTAAGCGAATTCCAGTAAGATAATCGTTTTATTAATGGATATATATCGAACAAGTTTCGTAAATCTATTAATAACTACTAAAACCGTATTATATATATACTTATTCAATTTCGATAAAAATAAATCTATAATGAAATTTATAGTTATTTCTTTCTAAGATTTATAGGAAATAGAAAGAGTCTGTAACTCGCCATAAGGCTTATATTTTTTAATAGTGGTATATTGGTATACTATATATATTTTAATATATGTTTTTATATTCTTCCTTATTAAAAGCCAGAAATATTTAGATTTCAAGATTTCTAAAGTTTTAGAAATATTCCAATATCTACCCATAAAGTTATTATAATGGGTTTTCAAGATCTCTACTCTCAAAGTAGAGTTTGGTGGTATATAAGCATTCCTATTATATCTAAGAAGCTTGTTAATGTTTATTTGTTAAAGTAAAGCGATTCCAGTAAAGCACAGTTTTTGATTTAGATATTCTTTATTCTTTATAAAATTGTTATTTGCTTGGAGATATAATAAAGCATTTTTTATTGTTTTTAATACTAACTTGAATATTGTTTTGTTTTTTGCTAAAATATAAGCTATCTGATGTAATATCAATTGTTTATAATTAGTTTTAATTAGTGAATATTTAAGTTTATGGAATAGTAGATTATATTCTTTTTTTTGTAAGAGGTTTATGATATTATATAAAGGCTTTGTTTTCTTGACAAAAGAATTTTGAAACAGATTTATAATTATCGATCTATTCTTCAGTTTATTCTGAAGAATCGGAAATATATTATTTATATTGTCCGTATTGATAATGTAATTAGGGTAATGCGATGGTCTATTTGCAGGATTCAATTTTCTGGTTCTATATACTATTTCGAAATCATATGTAGCTAAAACCTCTGTTCATTTTGTTTACTAGTTATTCAGGCTTTTTTTTGTTATAAAATATTAAAAACTATTATAATCTGATTTAATTACAACAGTATATCGATTTTTTATTATATAGTGGTATTATTATATGAAAGTGGTATATATTACTAGTAATTCTTGATTATAAGTGAAATATCATTATTTTGCTGGATTCAGTTTTTTCGAATAGAATGTAATGAAGTATTATCGTTAAATCGGTATCTCTTTGGTTTTTTTTGAAAAGAGTTATAATAATATACAATTTAAAATAAAGATTGATATATCGATTTCGATTATTATATAAAATAAAGGATTAAAATGCTAAAAAATAAATGTCGATATAAAGGCTTTCTTTAATACTTCAAATGCTTTTTATGTTTTATTAGTTTATTTGAATTCGATTACTATTTTTCCTTTCTTTATTCCTTTTAATAATGCGGTTATATTATAAGCTATTACTGAGTAAGCCTTAATAAATTATTAATAAAAGTTTGTGAAACTAAGAAATATTTGTATATTTCTAAGGCTATTGGATATTAGCTATTTTATTATGATCTGAATGTGGTCTGGTTTTATAGTAATATTTGTAAGTAAAATGATATATTCCAGGAATTTTATTTTATTAATATAAAAGATGTATTTCTTTAGCTTTGTATAGAGCTTATATTCGATAAATCGTATAAGAACTTTTCGGATATTTATTGTATATATAACTCTATTTCTTAAATAGATCAAAATATTATTAAGATATATTATATAGATATTATTTATTAAGTTGGATAAAGCTTGATTGATATATATTTGAAATATTGTAAAGATATTAGTGAAATCGAAAGGCATTACCTTATACTTATATTAATTATATTATATACAAAACATAGTTTTCTATTTATTTTTTGTTTTTATATAGATTTGATAATAAGTATCCTGTAAATCTAGTTTAATAAATATAATACTTTATCAAAATCGATTTAGGGATTTATTGATAAGAGATAGGGGGGTTTGATTCTTTTTAATAATTTGATTAAGTTCTTGATAGTTGATATATAGTTAATAATTTTTTTTTTTTTTTGAAATAAATATAATAAGTGCCCCTATCAAACTAATAAACTTTTTTATTTATTCTTTTTTTTGGTATTTATTTAGATATTTTTGTAATATTACTGATTTTTCCTTTAATAAAGAATAAATCAAACCCCAAAAAGAGATTGAATTAAATTCAAGATCAATATAATACTCCATCGAATAATATTCAGATAAAAGATTACTTTTATTTTTCAAAAAAGCCTTTTTATATTTCTGGAATTCTTTTAGTATCTTATATAAGGTCAATACAAGTATCAGGCAGTTCCTTTTTATTTTTAATTGTAAAGCTATTTTGTCTGAAAAGATTGCAAAAATTACTTTACCTTCCTTCATTTCCTGATAAAATTCTTTTATAGAAATGATTTCGAGATTGTTTAAGATGGGATGGTATTGGAGTGATGTTGACTTCTAATCGATATTAGGGTTGACTATTTATAATTACAGGAGATCTAGGATAACATCTATCCGTAATAGATCTAGTATTGTTGATATAAAGCTATAAATATAAATTCTCTTTTTCTCTTTTTCATCTTTCATTTTGATAGGGAATTTATAATTCCTGTATAATACAATTGCAGTATTATTTGCTGATACAAGGGGAATATTTTTTTTAATAGAGATCTAGTTTTATTTGATACACTTACTTTGTTATATAATATTGACTTGTATTTCCAAATCGATAAGGTATTGGAATGCTATTGGCTTATTGTTATTATTAAAGATCGCTATAATTATAAAGATTGTTCACTCTTCTTTATATAAATTTAATATCAATAAAACACTTATTATAATTATTGAGTCTAGACATTTCCTATATGGATAGTCTCAAAAAGATTATTTTGATATTTGTTTTCTTTATATTTTTCTCTACAATATCTATACACAAAATTGTTTTGATAATTCAAAGCGATATACTCTTTCTATTAGCATTTATAATATATAACGATCTGTATATATTCTATATATAATATATTAATAAGATATCTTAATATCTTGAAGAATTCCTTTTAAAAAAATTGATTTGATTCTTAAATCTCTATTTTAACAATTAGGGTTGGGTTGTTTTCCAGATAAGAGCGTTTAAATAGATTTCGATATTGAAAAGGTGATTAATTATATTTACAAAATCAATATAAATCCTTTACATCTTTTTTTTGAAATAATTTCTTTACACTTTCTAGTCTACAGGTTTGTCTTATAAGCTTATTGTATAACTTAAATTATTATAGGAATTCCGATATTTTCCTAGCTATACTGGGTAATAAACCTGCTAAGAGCTTTTCGATTCGAATACTCTCCATCTTCTATTCGATATCCTTCTCAAAGCCTTCTAGATAGATTACAAATGTGTTTACAATTTCTCTTTTTTTTTGTTTTGTATATATAATCTTTTGGATTATTCATTACTATCTAATCCCTTTATTCATAATAATATTATATATATATTCCTTAAAGTTTTCCCAATTCATCTTTTTATAACTTGATTTACTTATATATTAACACTAAATTATTAGAAACTGCTGTTCAAAGTATTGGATGATATATTCTATTTTCTTAGTATTGATAAAAAAATGATACTCATTATTGCTTCGAAATATAATTTCTGTTTAAAAGAAAAAGTTTTTAGCTTCCTCGATATTCTTTTTTTTATATTATTTCAATCTCTATAATTTCAATAATTTTCCCCAATCAAGGTTAATATTCTAATAGATTGTATTCGATATAACTACAAATCGGTTATACTCAACCGGAATAATTATATATAAAATACAATCCATAACTACTCTATAAGCCTCTTTTATAACTATTATTTCTTTTTTCATTTCTTTAAATTATTAAGCTAACAATATATCCTCATTATTACCAAAGGAATACAATTAGGTTGAATAGATATCGCTACCAATACTCTATAGGAATTAATCAATAGTTTTATTAGATTAATCTTAAATTACATTACAAATATTCTACTCTTCTTTTGGAATAGGTATTCTTCTTATTAAAACTATAATAATATTGATAGTTACTCGACTAAGAAATAATTAATGGATTACTCTATATAAAGAAATAAAAAGAATTGTTAGAGTAAATAATAGCAATAAATCAATTAGGTATAATATAGTACAAAGACTTTTCATTAATCCTTTTAAACTATAAAAATTCTATAATTTATAATTATGTGCGGGTTGGCGTTGGCCCGAAGTAGTCCTGCAGGAGCTACTCACATACCCTCGCCAGCCCTTATACGGATTGACCGTGACACCAGGGTTCTATTTAAATGAGAAAATCACACTTCGTTCCGTTCCGAGATCTTTTAGCGGGGCGAATGTCATTCTTCACGGAGAATTAGGAAATAAATGAATACCGTAAAAACTCAATAAACTGAGATTCTATTTAACTGTATTTAGTCTAGCATATTGTCGATCTCTCTAGCCGGATTTATTGAAATCCGATATTTTTTCCACTTTTTCTGATTATTTATATATTTAAAGTACATAAATTATTTTTTGAAATTTGAAATTAGAATTTTTTTTTTTTTTTTTTTTTTAATTTTTTTCTATTATTAACTACTAATAAGATTTTCAATTTGAAAACAAAATATTGATTATTGATTTAATAATAATTTATTAAAGTTTTTTTTAAAAAAAAATATTTTTTATTTACAAATTGATTTAGTTTATAAAGTGAAGCGTTTCTACTAAACTAAATACAGTTAAATAGGATTTCAGTTTGTTGAGTTTTTACAGTAGTTCTAGATGCGGATCCTGCGACTCTGTTCTCCACTTTGTTGCTTCTCCGTTATTTCCACGATTTCCACCTTTGCCGCTAATTCGTCACATATGCATTCGCATTTACATTCACTCTTGCAATGGTGGTTTGTGGATACTAATCATAATATCGGGTGATGTGAATATCGGGTGATGTGAATATCTGGTGACATTCAGCGACGAAGGTTATGAGAGAATGCTAGATTTTGAGGGATTTTGGGATACTCGGGTCCTATCAATTGAACGCGTGTTAGATATTCGTAGTGCTTTGTATACGCAGAGATTTGTGCATATTTACTTGATTGAAGGGATTCGAAAGATGTTGGAGAATAATACAATTTTAAAACTTAAACCTTTTGACTGTATCGGACACTATGCGTTATGCAATTATAGGTGTTCATGGACTGGTATCATAGGTATTCATCGTATTTAATATCCTCAGGTTATTGGCAACTTCCATACGATAGCAAGAATTGACCGGGTGTAAAAGTAAATACCAATGTATCTATCGTATATCGCAACCGCCCCTCCCCCCGATGCCCAGTAACTGAACCTTTCATCTTAATCATGGCCTATCCATCACTGTGCTATAGATCAGAAATATTCACGCCTAACCCCCAGAAAGGGCAAGATGAGAGGTTCGAAACACGTCCTGGCCTATATGTCTTTCCATCTTGTAGAAATTCAAACTTGAGAGATAGTTTATTATTCAATTTAATCTGAGTACTTGAAGAATGCCTTGCAGCATACTCAATAGAAGTATGATTTTGACTTGCGACTTACTTAGTCCATTGCTTACTACATTAACATCAATCTATCTATCATATCACAATCACAATCACAATCATCAAGAATAAAAGCCATATAAGTCCGCTAAGCAATATATATCCATATACTATATACTATACGCACTGAGTAGAGTAACCGCCTTCCCATCCACTCAAAGATGTCCAAACCAAGGGAATAAAAGCAATCGAATCTAGTCAGCAAGCAAGTTCTGTATTCCTGTGCTTCTTCTCTGACCATCATCCAGAAATCCAAACTAAACGAGTGACCATGCAGATACTCAATATGTACTGCTCGCTCGCGAAAAACTCAGAAGGAAGTAAAGTAAGAGTAAAATAAACAAATAGATGAATGAATGAATAAATAAATAGACAATTGATAATGAAAAATAAAAAGTGTGTGCAGTGGTATTAATGAAGGTACTCTGCGTTTCTCATGACATCCGTGATAGTATTGAGTGGTGTGTTGTAATAAGCGAGAGGAGGTTGAAAGATGTAGAAAGACATCCTCATGAACGAACAATGAATCCGATTAATGATTCGGAATTACACAGGGCAACCGAAATCCCTTAAATTCCCGAATCATCCTCAGCGAACAACTGAGTAGGAGTATAAGCATTCCAGTTTGCACAAGTATCCTCAAAAATAGCAGTGTCGCTCATCCCGACCGCAATCGAGCTTTGAGACTCTACAAATTGCATTGCCAATCCCTCAGATGCGTGCCATGCGATATGGCAATGAAGGAGCCAGGAACCAGGGTTGTCAAGCTTGAATGCAATGGCAAGATAACCGTTTCCGGGAAGTGCCGCAACGTCACGACGTGGAGGATTGACGAGGTTGAACTTGGCTGGCGACTTTTCGGGACTAAACACATCAGCTTCCTGGGCTACGATGTAGAAATCGTGGCCGTGGAGATGGATAGGATGCCAAATGCCGAAGCCGGTGAGATCTTCGATGACATATACGACCCACTCATCGTTATTGGTCTGCTCGAGAGGGACAACGTTGTATTCAGTTGGGAAGATTGTCTCGTTGTTGAAAATCTTGAGGGTTGTTGGCGAGCTCCAGTCGAGGAGTAGACTGCTAGAATTGATGGTCCATGTGAAGTAGTTGGTGAATGCGAAGGACACCTCTTCGTCGACGAGAGAGTATGCACCAACGTCCAATGCTAAGTGTGGAACAAGACTGGCAACTGGCTCATCCTCGCAAGTGCCGCGGGGTGTGGTTCCAACAGAGGTGGGATCTGCGGTGCTGGAGCTATCGTATCGTAGGATACCCGTAGCATTTGCTGCTTCCATGTTGGCGGAGCAGGTGGTTCCCCAGTTTCCTCTAATCCAGTAGTTGTCTGCTGCCGCATTGGCTTCAACAATAACATCGTATCTCTGACCAATACCAATGAGAAGAGTGTCGGTAGTGTAGGGTACAATTGGAACGAGATCGTTGGCAATGACAGTAAGTGTGTGTCCATCAATGGCGAATTCGAAATGACTGTCAATTCCAACGTTGATCAATCTCAATCTATATTTGGTACCTTCGACAAAAGTCAACTCGAATTTCTTACCACCACCAACACAGTTAGGATCAGTAGAAGCTGAGCAATCGAAGATGTTGGTTCCGTTCATCAAAGTGTTTTCAAGTGCTGGAGGAGCACCAACTCTAGCGGAGTCCCAAATTTCGAAAACGGATTCATGTGCCCAATCTTGGAGGAAAATTGCACCAACATCTTCATCATAGTCTGCAGTAGCAGGGCCGTTAATGATCAAGGGTCCAAAGAGTCCATCACCATATTGAAGAGAGAAGTGAGAGTGGTACCAAGTGGTTCCATATTGAGTAGCTTGGAATTTATAGGTCAAGGTATCTCCAGGAGCGATAGGACATTGAGTTACACCTGGATTTGATGTCAGTTATTTTCAATATAAGATAGGAAATAGTTGTGGGTGCAGAGAGGAGGGAATATGGGATGGGATGGGAGAGAAAGGGGGGATGTTCTTGTGATCGCATGATGACGATCTTTTAAAGACATACCGGGTACACCATCGTATTCGAGACTTCCTAGTTGACGAATTCCATGCCAATGAATAGATGTGCCGTTGTATTCAAGATTGTTGGTAACGTCTGTAATTATTTAGTCAGTAAAGATAACCAAACTTAGAAAGAATGATATTTGAGGACCTCAAGTTGTGACATAGAGATTCTCTGGGTAACTGGAGACTTACGGATTATAAGATTGTCGCCCCAGTCTGCTATAATTGCAGGTCCTGGGACAGTTCCATTGAAGGTCATGGCTGAGCGAGTATAACCATCAGGTGTGATGGTAGAGTTTTCAACTGAAAGCCAGTATTCTGTATATTAGGTTAGCGATGGACTAATCAATCGGAATTTGACATTACATACCTCTAGTGACTCCAGTGGGAGTAACATCATACCAGTTGGTATCAATGGAATACTCTCCCCAGCAAGATCTGGAAGTAGCTGAGTTTGCACAAGAGGCAGTGGTGTTCTGACGAGGAGTGAGTGGTGAACGAACAGCTGGAATAGCTGATGCAGATGCCTGTGCAAAGAATGCAGTGAGGGCAGTAAAGACTGTAGAATATTTCATGATTATGAATTAAACAAAAAACGACTGAAAAGATTGTGTTCTCCAGATAGGGAGTTTTGAAGAAGAGACTGTGGTGAGGATGAGATGAGGACTGAAGAGAGGAATTCCATGGCGAAACATCTTGACTTTATAGAAAAGTGAAGCTCTTGAAATTAGACCGTCCCGTCAGCTTCGTATCCACCTCTGAGCTTAGGTTCGAGACGTTGACGGCAACATAGTGAAGTCCGATATTGTCCTGTGATGGCTCGCGTAGCCTTGAATGCTTTGTCGCCGTGCTGGGTTGCATTGCATGTGAGGTATACGTACTCTCTCAACCCCATCCGTGTGCAGTATGTCCTTAGAATTTTTGCTTTTGTTGCCAGTGACATCTCTTGGCTTACGAATGTGGTAAGTCAGATGCATGGTGAGAACCTCAAGATCCATCTGAAATATGGAAGAGTTGAAGAAATGGACAATGCTTCCCAACGCGGAGCTATGCTAGCGCCATCAAAGATACATTAATAGATTACTCCAGGGGAAGTCAGCAGTTCGTGCCGAAAACCGTGGAGACATATTCAAAGATCATCTGCTGTTGAAACAATCAACATTCGTCAATCCTTTGGCTGAAAGGATTACCACATCTGAGCGTATTCGATTATCTGCATTCATCTCGGTCTTTCGGGGCCTGACGGAAAGTTCGTTGCTTGAAGTAGTGAGCACAACAACTCGGAGAATTATTTCTCACATTGTGGTTATAAGCCGCAAGGATTCACGAGGTGGTCAAGCCACTTTTTCCTCATCGGTAAGTCCTCACACGTCAGTCACAATCGATAACTTACACGGCGCAACTATTGCTTACTGGTGGCTGCAGGTACACAAATTATAGATTTGTGCTAAAAATTCACACAGTGGGTAAGCCTCCTCAGCCCGCAGCGGAAGGCTTTCGCCCCCGGCTTGGGTTCCATATTTCATAACCGTTGTCAGAATCGATAATGAAAGTAACTTTTTACAAAACTGGTTCCAGAATGATGAGTGATATACTAGTGAGTAGCAGGCACGGTCTGTTGAGTTAATAAGATTTCATACTCAATATGCCCACTCAAAGTTTCGTTTTTCTTGTACTTCGTAATCGCGCTGTTGCATATAAAATCCTTCGGGTACCTTACCGAATGTACAAGACGACGCCTTAAGCTTTAGGATTAAGCTTGTATGAACGTAGATTTCAGATTTCATTAGTTGCCGTTTGCTTGAGCCTCATCTGTATTGATCACTTCCTAAAGTGCATTAAACTCTGAGGAACAGGTAAAATTATATGACGATCTCCGGACACAGCACAGATTCAGTCCACGTACTACTCAAATATCCCCAGAAAAATCGTAATCCAGTTAGAAAAGGCAAGCAAAAGGTTTTTGGGGACCGTCTGTGCACCTTTATCTCGCATGGATTATGATTAGGGGACCTGATAGAGCTTACGACGCTTTTCAATATCGGATTTTTGATACCACCCCGCGAATAGTGTATTGTAGCATAGTATCGTAGTATTGTCAAGGGAACCCCCAGGACCGGCAGTTGACCGAGATATACCAAGACATACCAGGACTTCCTATCTAATCAAGATTGTACCTACTGACATTGCACAGGTTGTAGTTAAAGAGCCGGGCCGGAATTTTGAAAGTGAAGGAAATATCCGGCAACATACATCGTGCATGAATACTGGGTCGATTGCGTTTAGTAGTTCGATTAGTTCGATTAGTTCGTGAATATTAATTTGTAAACTTTTACAACATATCATCATCTTCAAGTTTCGAGACCGTAAATGAATGCCAAGAATACAAGAATGAAGAAAACGGTATTGTATTGCGAATAAGCGTTGATAAAGCTAAGAGTTCGGCTTCTGATAGGGCAAGACGAAACATCCTCAGGAACTACTGAGCCACATGATTGATGGGGCTTACGGAGTAAACAAGCAATGATCGTGAATCCACAATTGATCGGAACCTTACTTCCTGATGGTGGAGCCACTGCTGCGACTAACTCCTCCTTTTTGCCGAAGGGTTTGTGAAAAGCAGACCCCTGAACCTCCTTTCCCCCCCCCTCCCCACTCTGTACGGAACTACCTTAACAATTCTAAAGAGGCAACAACGAGCAGCATCTAATATATTATCAGAACTTTATTCCTTCCATAGTAGTTTGAATAGCCATCTCGTATTTCGCGAGAGATTTCTTCAAGTACATATCACAAAGACTTTGTGACTAATTGTACCATACGTAAATAACACTTTATTACGCGCTGGAAAATTCAGGACTCGGAATTCGATGAGCTGAACTAAAAATGATGTCGGCTCCCAAAAGAAGTAATGATGAACAATACAAGAAGGAAAGCTGTACAAAGTACGTCGTAAACAAGGGAATGCAGGGTATTCCACATGGTCACAGGGAATCTGATCCAGATAAGATCTCATTCAGATGAACCAGTCGCGATGGTAACGCGGTTCGGCTTAAATCCGAGATTGGGTTTCATCTTGCGCGCCTGTCCATATAATCCTTGCGGACATAAGCATTGCAACCTAATTGTTCAGATAGGAACGGCTGTAAAAACGTGAAGGGGCTGTCAGCTCTTACAGTGACTATTGATCTCGCTAACCTTTCTGTCCAGAGGTAACAAGGTAGGTTTAGGGTTACTTTAGCATGTTCCTTCAATTTGAGCCTGTCATTCTGAACTCTGAACACCACGAAGTTATGTGATGTCTTGCTTACATACAAAGGATAGAAGTAGACCACGGGAACAGAGTGCTGCCGTTGCTCGTGTCAGCATTGCCTTTGATAATATTGGAAAGACTTTGAAAGGGTCTAAGACTGCAGTATGAATCGATTTCTTACAAAAAAATTCGAAGCAAGGTGATCTCGTGTTGCCCCTGTATCTGTCAATATATTCCCAAAACATTGTGAGGATTTGTGTCCATGACAGCAATAGTGCGAACTTCGTCTCGTTGCCCCTGATAGGAACACAATACGCGATGGAGTCGTTCTCATCTCGAAAGTCGCATGGTCCTAAATCGTGAACGGAAAAATTGTGTCCGGCGAGTAAACAATGGAAAGGCCACAATTAAAAATTCATTTAAAGAAAAAAACTTGGTATGCATCAGATCCACACACACACACACAAACACACACGATAAAAGATTTTGAAATATTTGAAGGTGGAGAGATATGAATATGCCAAGATTTGAATTGGGCAGCCAAGGAAGCCTCGGAGCATCCGCAGAATCATTTTATATCTCCTATCTTAGTCGAATGCTTGCGCAAACAAACATGAAGAACATGTGAAACAACTCGACTTTTGCCGTTTGGCTCAATTCCAATTTCTGTCGATGGATAATTAGCATCTTTGACGAGTAACATGTTCAAAGACAACTGCGACAAAGCGTTGAAAGAGCTTGAAAGACAAATTAATGAACATTGTGATTGAAAATATGCATCTAGACACCTACACTAATTTTGTTTGCTTCGCTCATAACCGAAGTTTGAACAAAGAAGCCGAAATGCATAACAAGGTAGCAGAAATGAGGGGATCTGAATAATGCCCAACCATAGACTGTTTTCAGATCACATCGTACCCATGATGCATCAACCCCTCCTTGGTACATTCTCGATTCTTTCCATATCGGTAGACGAGGCATGCAGAGTCGTCGCGACCATATGGCTACTACCTCTGTTATCTGCGGATATTTCTTTCTTTGTCACAATCTTTGGTAGATATGTCGATGGAGAAGGACCTCGACTTGTAATCTTTTGAACCTCGCAACAGTAAGTTGATACCACCAAACTCCACGCTAAACAAACAAGCAAATAACCATATCCCAGACTCTCACAGGTAGTCCTTCTTCTTGGAAGTCCTCGTATATTGGTTCATCCTCCATTCAACATCACCATCCTTATTCTCCAAAGTGCCTCCTCTAATTTCGAAACATCTCATCGTCATACGAGGTCCAACTTCTGCGAGTTCCACATTTTGATATCCCGTCTTAACAAACACGTGGTGTCGAACTTCGATACTATCTTCAATATTCTTGAATGTGACAACTCTGCTTCCCATTTTCGTTTTATTTGTAATCGCTTCTCTTGGGGGAAAGATATGCTTCAAGATTTTGACGATTCGAAGACCCAATCTTGATGTAAAGCCTTCAAAGATTAGATGGGGATAAGACTCGCTGACCGTACCACGGGAGCTATTGGGGATGTCGTGGCGCAAAACAACATTGTGTAGAGAGAATGATATCGTGGGCCCATGAGGAAAGTGGGAAAGCGTCAAGGCTGTTGGTGTACCACGATGTTCATGGAGGAGAATGATATCAGAAAGTCCAGATGCTTGGGCGGATGTAATTAGACTTGGTAAAATGAGATTTCCTCGATTTAGACGGATTGAAGTTGGTATCAATAATCTGATCTCTTTCGCAAAGGCAGAAAGTCTTGATGAAGGATCTCTTGAGGTTGTGATCAGTACTCTGGGATCAACGATTCCAGAAAGTTGAGCATATTCATCGTCCAAGTCAAGTTCCTCGTTTGCCGTCAAATCTGGTCGTGATTCATCATATTTATAATCTTCTCGTAGTTTTTTATCATTCGCAATCGATGGATCTAAAGGTTTGCCTGATGCTAAAGAGGCTCGAAGCTTTGCGCGCTTTTCACTGATCTCAGCATCTCGAAGTGTTAAGGCTCTTCGATAGAGGTAATCTCGTCGTTGTCGAGCTTGTTTGCGCTATAGAACACAGCATGTATTAGTCAATTGGATTGGGAACAACATTGCAGGGAAATAAATATATGATGATTGATGTGAACACAACTTACAATCATTTTCGCAATGGTCTATTTGACTTGAAGAGAGTTTGTCTTTCGAGGGGGGTAGTATGAAGCTTTTTTGTGAGGTCAAGCAGAAAAAAAAAGTTTCTATCACAAACCTTTATCGGCTGGTATCGGTATCAGTATCAGCACGCGCTAAGCATCCAAATAGCAATGTCACT